ATATATTTTGTCTGGATGGCTGAGTTTGGGTCAAGTGTAATATTTTTCTCTATTTGGTACCGTTCTATTGCTTCAACGAAGAATTGCATCATTTTATTTGCTAAACTATCGTTGAAATCAACCTTACAGTTTTGTTTGAGTATTGCAAATATCCTTTTATATTCACTATCTACACACTCTCTAGTATATCTAATTTTTTAAATGTTTATTCATCCCTTTTGACCTTTAAACCTTCTTTCTGCTGCTTTGCAAGCTTTACCAAATAGTTTTAACCACAAATTCCTGCATTCCTTTCTCCACCGTTTGATTTCAAAATTATCTATTTTGACTATAGGAAACATGTAGATTGAGCTGATTTTAGGAATACATTTTTTCATAGCCTGACTTCCATAAGATTCTATAAATAACCACTCATATATATCGCTATCCTCTTCTATGTCAATACTATAAGCTGGAGGCTGACTAGAGGTCGCTAATTGTGGATACATGCCTTTAATGCTTTCCGACCCTTTAATAGCCCCTATGGATTGAGCCTTTTCAGAAGGTAAATTATGTTGTTCCATTGCCCAATTACGTAACTTCCTAACAGATTTTTCCTCCTTCCTCATTATATTTACCGGCCATTGTGCACTCATTAAATCCCATGCGGTAAAGACCTCTTTCACGTACTCTAAGTCCCATTTCGGGTTGCTTATGGCTGTATTATCAATTATATACTTACGTGCGACTTGTAATTTATCCCTTTTAAAACTACCATCAAGAGGATAGTCATTATCTGTCCATGCTGATAAATCACTAAGATATGGTTCCACATATAACTTTTTTTAATTTAATTAACATCCAGTCACGTGGTGTTTGATGTTCAATGCTCTTAAAAGAGATATGTTTTAGATGCGGATTTGTCTGCAACAATTTCGTCATAACTTTCCGTTCCCTTCTAGGTAAATCTAGCTCTGATTCATGCTTTATTGTTTACTGCCCGTATTTGGTATACTAAATTGACTCCCCATTGTCGCGTATATTAGTTTATGGAATATTAGTAATTAAATGTTTGAATCAAATCTCCACCTCGATCTTTAGTAACATTTTGTTTACCTATGTCTACCATTAGTGCTTATGATTCAATATATTACATTTCACTGGCTCCCTCTCCTGGCCGTTTTGAGTAATTAGCAAGGTACTAAGCCTCTCTTCCGTTTATGACGATTTATTACGTCAAAGGTCCGTAACCTATTCCTTTTATACCCAATGTCTTTTATAATGTACTTTTACATTACGGGACTAAATTCCCACTCTCTTTTTGATGTACCTGTACATTAAGGGTGCTCTGCGCCCACTCATTTTATAATGTACTGTTTTACATTAACGGAAACAAATCCACTCTCTCTGTCCTGCACCCACTAGTTTGTCCTCTCTTGCCTTTACTCAGTATTTTAAACACACCATATTTTTGAATCATAGCACCATGTCATTGTCCCATTTGATATTCTCCTTAAATCCATTCTACACAACTCAACACCACTCATTGTCCCCCTTTTAAAATATCGAATTTTAAATGTTCGTTACAGCTTAGCTTTACCACAGATAAGCAGATTTTAACATAATAATAGAATGAAAGTCTGCTTACCTGTTAGTTTGTCTGTAGACTGTATCGTGTTTGTGACGGCAATCTGTTATGATGAGTTTCTGGTATTAAGAAGTTCAGGATGCAAGAGAGCAGTCGACACTCAGCTGGAAGTTTGATTTACATTTATTTCAGTACTGGATCATATAATAAGACGAACATGCTTTGCCTCTTATCGTATGACTGACTTCCTTACCAAATCTTTAAACGTATATAATGCCCTTCCAACCTACTTTTATCATGCCCAGTTGCTAACTATTACTAACTGCCACTCACTTCCTACATATCATTCCTCTCCTTGGTGTCGTGTGGCACCCTAGCCAGGCCATTCCATCACGCACCCATCCTAAGATTAGCACCAGTGGCCCCCAATCTATCTTGGCACACTGACCTTCTGTTCCTCACTCGTGATACCACTAACACATGGTGTGTCCCTGTTCATTGTCACTCATTCAGCTTAGGAGTTTACACACATTAATTAATATTGTATCACAAATCATCATATCACACTTCAACCACTACATTTTTATTCGACAGTGTATTATTAATTTTCTCGGGTGTGACTTCATTAAGTTTCATCGACACAAGATAGTTAAATGGAAACGCACCCTAGCCTGCAAATGTCGCATCTATTTTCTATGCAAACTTTCTAAATGTCGACAGAATATCACTGGACAAGCTAATAGAAACATAGCTAGTGGCAGGTTTTTTGTATTGCACATGCTCATAATGTTTAGAAAATGGGAACAAGCGTGGGGTGGGCGGAGCAAACAGGACACTAGCCAACATCATTTTTCCTCCCGTGGTATCGCGATACTACTCGGTATCGTGATACTTGGCCTGTTTCGTTAGTAAAATGTTGGTATTGTGACAACACCATTTTTAAATACTTTAGAATTATTTGGACATGAAGCATGAAGATGCTAAACAGTAGAACCGTTTTTCCTCTCTGGAGTAAGGTAAATCCAGCACATTCTGCGACTGATGACCTTGTACAATACAATGGGGCAGTGCTTATTCACAGTAGGCTACAGGTCTTGATTGATTGATTTATTGAATTTATTAGACCATAAAAAAATACATACATAAGGGTCTCCAGCCAGTTATCATATACAATTTAAGAAAATCATCAAAGACAACACAATAAATGTCACGATCATTAACGGAAGATACGGACCAAGGCGCAGCGTGATAAGCGTACATTTTATTAAGTACTTAACACGACACAAAACAACAAACAAACGATACGTGAAGTCCTAGGTTACACAAAACAAACCTTTACGGAACAAGATCCCACACCGACTAGTGCCAAACAGGCTGCCTAATTCACGCCGGATCCGGCTCCGGCGTGACCACCACTTTCTCTCCACCTCCCCGTTGCGCCCCTGATCTGGTCTGGCACCGCTGACTGGAGCTGGACCCGACGACGGTGGATCAAACCGTACAGGCTCCGGAGTGGATCCAATGACTGGAGTTGGACCAGACCCCGGTGGAGCTGATTGCTCTGGCTTCAGAGTGGAGCAGCTGACCAGTGCCGGACCAGGCACCGGTGGAACAGGCACGGGCCGTGCCGGACTGGACACATGCACCACTGGCTTGGTGCGGGGAGCAGGAACGGACCGGGCTGACGACGCGCACCACTGGCTTGGTGCGAGGGGCAGGAACAGGCCGGACCGGGCTGGCGACGCGCACCACTGGCTTGGTGCGAGGGGCAGGAACAGGCCGGACCGGGCTGGCGACGCGCACCACTGGCTTGGCGCGAGGGGCAGGAACAGGCCGGACCGGGCTGGCGACGCGCACCACTGGCTTGGCGCGAGGGGCAGGAACAGGCCGGACCGGGCTGGCGACGCGCACCACTGGCTTGGCGCGAGGAGCAGGAACAGGCCGGACCGGGCTGGCGACGCGCACCACTGGCTTGGTGCGAGGGGCAGGAACAGGCCGGACCGGGCTGGCGACGCGCACCACTGGCTTGGCGCGAGGGGCAGGAACAGGCCGGACCGGGCTGGCGACGCGCACCACTGGCTTGGCGCGAGGGGCAGGAACAGGCCGGACCGGGCTGGCGACGCGCACCACTGGCTTGGCGCGAGGGGCAGGAACAGGCCGGACCGGGCTGGCGACACGCACCACTGCCTTGGCGCGAGGGCCAGGAACAGGCCGGACCAGACTGGGAACACGCACCACTGGCTTGGTGCGGGGAGCAGGAACAGGCCGGGCTGGAGAGCGGAGAGCTGACACAACCCGTCCTGGCTGAATGCCTACTTCCACACAATACGTGTGAGGCATCAGCACAGCATGTGGCACTGGCGCAGGATATACGGGACCGAGGAGGCGTACTGGAGACCACGAGCGTTGAGCCGGCACACCCCGTCCTGGCTGAATGCCCATCTTTGCACGACACGTGCGTGGTGCTAGCACAGGACGTACAGGACTGTGCCGGAACACTCGCGGCACAGTACGTGGCTCCGCATAACACGGAGCCTGCCCAGTCACACGCTTCCTAGCCTGAGTACGGGGAGTTGGCTCTGCTCTAACCCTAGGCTCCGCCAACCACCCTTTTAGCCCCCCAAATTTTTTTTCTTGGGGCTGTCTCTCGGGCTTCCTCCTCGGCCGGTATCCTCTGCGTTGCCGCTGCTCCTCTCTATAGCGCGCCTCCACAGTCTCCTCCCAAGGACGGCGATCCATTCCGGCCTGAATCTCCTCCCAAGTCCAGGATCCCTTCCCGTCCAGGATCTCCTCCCAGGTCCAGGCTGTCTGTTCCTGGACACGCTGCTTGGTCCTCTTTTGGTGGGACCTTCTGTCACGATCGTTAACGGAAGATACGGACCAAGGCGCAGCGTGATAAGCGTACATTTTATTAAGTACTTAACACGACACAAAACAACAAACAAACGATACGTGAAGTCCTAGGTTACACAAAACAAACCTTTACGGAACAAGATCCCACACCGACTAGTGCCAAACAGGCTGCCTAAGTATGGTCCCCAATCAGAGACAACGAGATACAGCTGCCTCTGATTGGGAACCACCCTGGCCAACATAGATCTAAACGATCTAGAACATCAACATAGAAAATATAACACAGAAACTACACACTCTGGCTCAACATTTCAGAGTCCCCAGAGCCAGGGCGTGACAATAAAGCTTAAAAGCTTATTTCCATTGTGGTCCATTAAGACTTTCTCTCCACTGTCTGGTGTTCTGGCCCTCAGTCAGTATTCACAGATTCAGAGTAGCAGTGCTGGATCAGTTTTGCCTTTGAAATCATAAGGAATAAAAAGGGAGACCTGATCCTAGATCAGCACTCCTACTCTGAGATGCTTTATGAATTGGGCCCTGATGTTTTATGGTCCGGAGCATGTCCTCTCCTCTGATTGGCTCAGGCCTTCTGTAGTTTCCTGAGGTCCTCGTCCATGCCCCGCCCACTGAGCTGCTCCAGGCTGTGGTAGCGATGGATGACCTGGTCGGCGGTCACTACCACCACCCTGGCAGCCTATAGCGGAGCTCATGTCCAGGCCGTTTTGGAGCCCCCCCCCCGCGTTACGGTGGTAGTGGCCGGAGAACACTGCCTTCTCTCCTACACAGCACAACACAGAGAGCGAGAGAGCGAGTGTGAGGAAGAGGAGGGTTATCATCAAAGCTTTTGAAATGAGATCTATTTGACTCTACACTCACAAGACCTGTTATGCCCATTCACAATATTGGTGTTTTGTCCAAAAGAAAACAGTAACCCCAAAAAGTATTGACAGTATCGATTAATAATTTATTAGCATTTATTAACCTTAGGTGACATGGTGTCTGTCTGGTGTCTGGCTCTGTTGGTGTTGTTGTTGAAATCTTGTTCTGTTCCTCCATACAGCTGTGACGAGTACTGAGTATACGAAGAGGCAGGACGCAGATGCAGGAATTAACAAGGTCAAGCTTTACTTAACAATGAGAAAGAGAAATAACAAACATAGAGTAAATGACACGAAGCTTAACAATCACACACAACATCATACAGAACAGTCCAGGGCTAAATAGGGGTGGTGATGAGATGATGAGGTGCAGGTGCGCTGGAGGTGATTAGGGTGCGTTGGGTTTCCATTCCGGTGTTGCCGAGGTGGTGCTCTCAGACCGGTGGCTCAGTAGACCGGCGAATCAGAGCGCCGGAGGGGAGCAACGGGAGGAGATGTGACAACAGCTCCAGTCTGCATCCTGTCTACATGCATATGCAGAGCTAAATGTAACATATGCAAATTGTCCCTGATAAGGGTATCTGCTCTGCATATCATAGCAATATATTCATATTAGCTCAATATAATTGCATAATGAGATCATTGGCTATGCCATATCTGTCAGATAGACTGAAAGCGAACGCCTGAGAATGGAGAGAGGGAGGGGGTGGGAGAGGGGAGACAGAGAGAGCGAGGGAAAGAAAGAGCGAGAGCAAGCAGAGAAACTGAACTCATTTTTAGAATATTTTTGGAAAATGTAGAAACTGTTACTCGGGGGTACGTTTTTTTTTTTCAATTTATTTTCCATCACAGTCGTCATCGTCATTATTGAAATGATTGCTATCACTTCCCCTGAAGCGGTGTTTCTGCAGCACTCTGTTTCTGCAGCGAAATAGAAGGCAGTGAACTGATTGCACACTCACACTGGTTGGCCAAGCAAGCCCCAGTCTGAATAAGAAGCATAAATGAGTTTTCTCTTTTTGTGAAGGTGTGGGCATGTGTGTGCGTGCATGCTCTACTGTGAGTTCAATCCAGGTTTTGGCAGACAGAGGAAGTAAGATGTTCCGTTTCTAACAGTAGAGCAGTAGCTAGACTGCTGCTCGCTTGCTGCCATTCCTCTGAAGTAATACACCATAAACACAACAGATGCCAAGGATATAATGAAAACTGGCAAAAGCTGGCAACAAAGAACCTCAATTCCGGTCTACAGTACAAATGAAGACATCACTCATGTCCTGGAAATCGATCCATAACACTAAAATAACATCCAGAAAACCCTGGAGTTGCTTTCCAAGAACAGCCTTTTTTTTCTGATCAGCAACATTCAGATTCTACAGACATTTGTCCTGCACAGTGCATATCACCAAAAACACTTTGGGATTATCACTGAGAAAATAAATATAAGTTATATTAATAGCAAAACAGTGGGTGCACACACTGCACCATTGAATAATTAATCGAATTTAGATGAAAATGTATGATAAACATATTATTTTTGCAGGCTAAATTCCTTTGCAATCAAAACCCAAAGGCTATGGTCCTAGCGTATAGTTATGCCAATGCACCCCTCTGTTTTCCTGTGGTACCCCACGGCAAAGTCATTTAGGACACTACGACAGCTCCCACTCAACCACAGAGGGTCTGCCAACTAAGGTGGGGGTTAATGTGTGTGTGTGCGCGCGTGTGTGTGTACACTGCCAATACTGCAGTCCTCTAACAGTCCAACAGAACTACAATTAGACAAGCCTTCCAAACCTAAACCTAGAGAAACCAAAAACAACAACAGAGGGTAACGTTTGATCTAGATTTTAATCACTAGGATTAATCATACTGTAATTACAGGGGGGGAAACATTCTCAAAAGTTGAACATCACTCATCAACATATCAACCAGCATGCAAGTACTGTACGCATTTCTCAACCTTTCTGCCGCCCCTAATAGATTAAGAAAATGCAAACGACAGCAACATGACGTAAGCATCAGAGAGAGAAAAAAAAAGCAATTCTCAGGAGGAATAATAAGATGAAGAAGTGAATCAGCTAGACGAAAGAAGAAAGAAATGTATGTACTTTTTAAACCAGTATGGTTTCCTCTGAGGACCATCTCAGTAGAGCTGCATCCAGAAGACTGTCATAATTAAACACATCAGAACGAGAGGGGAGAGGGAGGGAGAGAGAGAGAGCTAGGAAGGAGTGAGAGGGAAGGAGAAAGATGGAGCGCTAGGAAGGAGGGAGAGATAGTGAGTGAGAGGGAAGAGATGGGGAGATACAGAGAGAGAGAAAGCTAGACAGCAGGCAACCAGCCAGCCCAGTCTGAATCAGCCATACCTCTCTCTCTTTCTACCTCTCTCTCTACCTATCTCTTTCTCCCTCTCTCTTTCTTTGTGTGAAAGACGTTTCCCATTGTGATGTCCTACCTTGGGATTATCAATGCGTGAGACAGAACAGTTCAGAGTGTTCAGATAGAAATGTATTGTGTACATTATTTGTGATTCATTGTTGAGAATAGGGAGTTGTAAGAGCTCTATTTAGTATTTGTTCTATCTTCAGTTGGCACAGCAGGACAGGAACTGTGCCTACCCTGCCTAATGCTTGAAGGGTATCACGATCTGAGGGTTTGGCTGTCACAAACCTTACACAACCATCCTATCATTGTCTGGAACACTGGAGTTGAGAAAACTCTAGGTACCCTAGAATAAAAATAAAAAGCTATGTTACGATAAAATCATCCTAAATTAATTTCAATGCATCAGCTTTACACCATCATGTAATGAGCTCATAAAACCAAAGAATTAGAATTAGAATTATTATGCATAAAGCAAGCCATGTCACTTTTAACACCTCTGTCAATGTTGAGGAGGAGCATTCAGCCTACTCTGCTCTGGTCCTCTTGATAGCGTGGTGAAGCATCAGGATGAATTGGTGGTGATCACTTGTCAACAGCCAGTGTTACTTGCTCATTCATATCTCCAGCTAGAGTCAGACCTGCTGGGAATCCTAATGGGAAATTAATGACATGATAAACATCTTCACACTCAGTCTGTCTGTCTGCACTCACAAGTGTTATTAGTCACTGGCTCTAATGTCCCAGTCAGTCAGTCCCACTCAACACCAGACAGGGAAACTCAAGAGCACTGGCTGTTTCCCTTAGGAGTTTTTCCTGACCACTTCATTAAAAGGATTGGATAAATAAGTGATCCAACCTGTTCAGATCATTGATTTCTTCAAGGGCAAATCTCCATCCTCTCCAGGTAAGGACCCTGTAACTCCCACTCTCACACTGTTCGCCCCCAACAGAGATGTCACTGACACATCTGTAAGACTGTGCAGAGTGTGTGTGTGCACGTGTGTGTGTGTGAATGCGCGTGCATTCGCACCCTTTGTGTGTGCGGTAGAGGGCGGGTGTCATTAGAGTATTGAACTGGAAATAATTCATAATGAAAGCGTGTCTAGCTGTAGATAATTTGCATGACAGAGGGAGGTACAAAATGAAGTAGCTAGTGTGGGGATTCTCATCTATAGCCTGGGCCTGAGAGATAAATCACTCATCCAACATATCGCTCTCTTACTTCTTCCCAAATGGCACCCAATACAGAGGACTACTTTTAACCAGTCCTTTTCATGATGAAAAGTAGTGCAATATATAGGGAACAGAGTGCCATTTGGGACTCAGCCTCTGTCTCAGGATCCCTTTCCAATGTCACCCCACACACACTGCTATTGTAACTACTACTGTACTGTGTGTTCCTGTGGTGTGTGGGAGTAGATCAGAGGTGCACAGCTTCAGTCCTTGGAGGCTGCAGTCCAGCTGTTTTCCATCCTTGCCTTTTATCCAGAGACTTATTCCGAAGTGATTTCTGATTTCTACTCTCTATCAGTAACAAAACAGTATACATTTCCACCTGCCTGGGAAACCAGATATGTACATTCTCCAGCTCTCCACTCTCAGTAACATCAATGAAGGGCCAGGGAGAAATGAAAAACCAGTTAACACAGTGGGGGAAAAAAGTCAGCCACCAATTGTGCAAGTTCTCCCACTTAAAAAGATGAGAGAGGCGTGTAATTTTCATCATAGGTACACGTCAACTATGACAGACAAAATGAGAATTTCTTTCCCAGAAAATCACATTGTAGGATTTTTTATGAATTTATTTGCAAATTATGGTGTAAAATAAGTATTTGGTCAATAACAAAAGTTTCTCAATACTTTGTTATATACCCTTTGTTGGCAATGACACAGGTCAAACGTTTTCTGTAAGTCTTCACAAGGTTTTCACACACTGTTGCTGGTATTTTGGCCCATTCCTCCATGCAGATCTCCTCTAGAGCAGTGATGTTTTGGGGCTGTCGCTGGGCAACACGGACTTTCAACTCCCTCCAAAGATTTTCTATGGGGTTGAGATCTCGAGACTGGCTAGGCCACTCCAGGACCTTGAAATGCTTCTTACGAAGCCACTCCTTCGTTGCCCGGGCGGTGTGTTTGGGATCATTGTCATGCTGAAAGTCCCAGCCACGTTTAATCTTCAATGCCCTTGCTGATGGAAGGAGGTTTTCACTCAAAATCTCACGATACATGGCCCCATTCATTCTTTCCTTTACACGGATCAGTCGTCCTGGTCCCTTTGCAGAAAAACAGCCCCAAAGCATGATGTTTCCACCCCCATGCTTCACAGTAGGTATGGTGTTCTTTGGATGCAACTCAGCATTCTTTGTCCTCCAAACACGATGAGTTGAGTTTTTACCAAAAAGTTCTATTTTGGTTTCATCTGACCATATGCCATTCTCCCAATCCTCTTCTGGATCATCCAAATGCACTCTAGCAAACTTCAGACGGGCCTGGACATGTACTGGATTAAGCAGGGGGACACGTCTGGCACTGCAGGATTTGAGTCCCTGGCGGCGTACTGTGTTACTGATGGTAGGCTTTGTTACTTTGGTCCCAGCTCTCTGCAGGTCATTCACTAGGTCCCCCCGTGCGGTTCTGGGATTTTTGCTCACCGTTCTTGTGATCATTTTGACCCCACGGGGTGAGATCTTGCGTGGAGCCCCAGATCGAGGGAGATTATTAGTGGTCTTGTATGTCTTCCATTTCCTAATATTTGCTCCCACAGTTGATTTATTCAAACCAAGCTGCTTACCTATTGCAGATTCAGTCTTCCCAGCCTGATGCAGGTCTACAATTTTGTTTCTGGTGTCCTTTGACAGCTATTTGGTCTTGGCCATAGTGGAGTTTGGAGTGTGACTGTTTGAGGTTGTCGACAGGTGTCTTTTATACTGATAACAAGTTCAAACAGGTGCCATTAATACAGGTAACGAGTGGAGGACAGAGGAGCCTCTTAAAGAAGAAGTTCCAGGTCTGTGAGAGCCAGAAATCTTGCTTGTTTGTAGGTGACCAAATACTTATTTTCCACCATAATTTGCAAATAAATTCATTAAAAATCCTACAATGTGATTTTCTGGATTTTTTTTCTCTCAATTTGTCTGTCATAGTTGACGTGTACCTATGATGAAAATTACAGGCCTCTCTCATCTTTTTAAGTGGGAGAACTTGCACAATTGGTGGCTGACTAAATACTTTTTATATACTTTATGTATATACAGTGTGTGTGAATGTAGTAAGTTATTGAGGTAAGGCAATAAATAGGCCATAGTGCAAAATAGTTACAATTTCGTATTAACACTGGAATGATAGATGTGCAAAAGATGATGTGCAAATAGAGATACTGGGGTGCAAATTAGCAAAATAAATAACAATATGGGGATGAGGTAGTTGGGTGGGCTAATTTTAGAATGGCTGTGTACAGGTGCCGTGATCGGTAAGCTGCTCTGACAACTGATGCTTAAAGTTAGTGAGGGAGATAAGAGTCTCCAGCTTCAGAGATTTTTGCAGTTTGTTCCAGTCAGTGGCAGCAGAGAACTGGAAGGAATGGCGGCCAAAGGAGGTGTTGGCTTTGGGGATGACCAATGAGATATACCTGCTGGAGCGCAGACTACGGGTGGGTGTTGCTATGGTGACCAGTGAGCTAAGATAAGACGGGGATTTGCCTAGCAGTGGTTTATAGATGACCTGGAGCCAGTGGGTTTGGCGACGAATATGTAGTGAGGGCCAGCCAACAAGAGCGTACAGGTCACAATGGTGGGTAGTATATGGGGCTTTGGTGACAAAACGGATGGCACTGTGATAGACTACATCCAATTTGCTGAGTAGAGTGTTGGAGGCTATTTTGTAAATAGTCAGTTTTATGAGGGCATGTTTGGCAGCATGAGTGAAGGAGGCTTTGTTGCGAAATAGGAAGCCGATTCTAGATCGAACTTTTGATTGGAGATGCTTAATGTGAGTCTGGAAGGAGAGTTTACAGTCTAACCAGACACCTAGGTATTTGTAGTTGTCCACATACTCTAGGTCAGACCCGCTGAGAGTAGTGATTCTAGGCGGATGGGCGGGTGCAAGCAGCGTTCGGTTGAAGAGCATGCATTTAGTTTTACTAGTGTTTAAGAGCAGTTGGAGGCTACGGAAGGAGTGTTGTATGGCGTTGAAGCTCGTTTGGAGGTTTGTTAACACAGTGTCCAATGAAGGGCCAGATGTATACAAAATGGTGTCGTCCGCATAGAGGTGGATCCGAGCGTCACCAGCAGCAAGAGCGACATCATTGATACACACAGAGAATAGAGTCGGCCCGAGAATTGAACCCTGTGGCACCCCAATAGAGACTGCCAAAGGTCCAGACAACAGGCCCTCCGATTTGACACATTGAACTCTATCTGAGAAGTAGTTGGTGAACCAGGCGAGGTAGTCTGCCAATAAGAATGCGGTAGTTGACAGAGTCAAAAGCCTTGGCCAGGTCGATGAAGACGGCTGCGCAGTACTGTCTTTTATCGATTGCGGTTATAATATCGTTTAGGACCTTGAGCGTGGCTGAGGTGCACCCATGACCAGCTCGGAAACCGGAATGCATAGCGGAGAAGGTACGGTGGGATGCGAAATGGTCGGTGATCTGTTTGTTAACTTGGCTTTCAAATACTTTCGAAAGGCAGGGCAGGATGGATATAGGTCTGTAACAGTTTGGATCTAGAGTGTCACCCCCTTTGAAGAGGGGGATGACCGCGGCAGCTTTCCAATCTCTGGGGATCTCAGACGTTACGAAAGAGAGGTTGAACAGGCTATTAATAGGGGTTGCGACAATTTCGACGGCTAATTTTAGAAAGAAAGGGTCCAGATTGTCTAGCCCAGTTGATTTGTAGGCGTCCAGATTTTTATTTTCAGCTCTTTCAGAACTTCAGCTGTCTGAATTTGTGTGAAGGAGAAGCGGGGGGGGGGGGGGGCATGGGCAAGTTGCAGCGTGGGTGCAGAGCTGGTGGCCGGGGTAGTGGTAGCCAGTTGGAACGCATGGCCAGGCATAGCAAAATGCTTGTTGAAATTCTCGATTATTGTAGATTTATTGGTGGTGACAGTGTTTCCTAGCCTCAGTGCAGTGGGCAGTTGGGAGGAGGTGCTCTTATTCTCCATGGACTTTACAGTGTCCCAAAACTTTTTGGAGTTAGTGCTACAGGATGCAAATTTCTGTTTGAAAAAGCTAGCCTTTGCTTTCCTAACTGATTGTGTATATTGGTATCTGACTTCCTGACTGAAAAGTTGCATATCGCAGGGGCTGTTCGATGCTAATGCAGTACGCCACAGGACGTTTTTGTGCTGGTCAAGGGCAGTCAAGTCTGAGGAGAACCAGGGGCTATATCTGTTCTTAGTTCTGAATTTTTTGAATGGGGCATGCTTATTTAAGATTGAGAGGAAAGCACTTTTAAAGAACAACCAGGCATCCTCTACTGACGGAATGAGGTCAATATCCATCCAGGATACCCGAGCCAGGTCAATTAGAAAGGCCTGCTCGCTAAAGTGTTTTAGGGAGCGTTTGACAGTGATGAGGGGTGGTCGTTTGACCGCGGACCCATTACGGATGCAGGCAATGAGGCAGTGATCGCTGAGATCCTGGTTGAAGACAGCAGATGTGTATTTAGAGGGTAAAATTGTCAGGATGATGTCTATGAGGGTGCCCATGTTTACAGATTTAGGGTTGTACCTGGTAGGTTCGTTGATAATTTGTGTGAGATTGAGGGCATCTAGTTTAGATTGTAGGTTGGCTGGGGTGTTAAGCATATCTCAGTTTAGGTCACCAAGCAGTACGAACTCTGAGGATAGATGGGGGGCAATCAGTTCACATATGGTGTCCAGGGCACTATATTGTGATCACTACATTCGATGGATTTGGATACTGCTTTAAAGCAAATGTCTGCAGCATTAGTAAAGATGTGATCAGTACATGATTGTTGATTATTTCATTCCTGTGCTGTTTGTAACTACCTTTGTAGGTTGACTGATAACCTGAACCAGATTGCAGGCACCGGTTACAGTTTGAAGCTTTTTCTTGAGTGGACAGCTTGATGAAAGCCAGTCAATATTGAAATCACCCAGAAAATATACCTTTCTGTTGCTATCACATACATTATCAAGCATTTCACACATATTATCCAGATACTGAATGTTAGTACTTGGTGGTCTATAGCAGCTTTCCACAAGAATGGGCTTTAGGTGAGGCACATGAACCTGTAGCCATATTACTTCAACAGTATTTAACATGAGATCCTCTCTAAGCTTTACAGGAATGTGGTTCTTAATATAGACCTCAACACCGCCCCCATTAGCATTTCTGTATTTTCTGTAAATGTTATAACCATTTATTGCTACCACGGTATCATCAAAGGTATTATCTATGTGAGTTTCAGAGATAGTCAGAATATGAATGTCATCTGTTACTAGCAAGTTATTGACTTCATGAACCTTGTTTCTTAGGCTACATATGTTAACGTGGGCTTTTTTTAGCACTTTTCTGGGATGCTTAATTGTTTTCATTGCTTTACTTGGATGCTTAGCAGAAGTAGACATGCTCATGCTATTTATGTTAGTGCAGGGTGAACTGCACACAGTGGACATCCTACTAGGGCACACCGCCTCAGTGCTAACAGTATAACTCTGGTTCATAGGCACATGATTACTGCATACAATAGCTGTGGGATCAGCAGAGGCCTTCAGGGCAGTTAGAGGGACATCAATTACGTTACTTAAATTTTGTCTTCCAACCCCCCTGGGTTAATGTACATTTGCTGATGCATTATGACAACTCAGCGACACAATGAATTTGGATTAACTGAGCTGGGCTTGGGTCATTGATAAGTCATTGTCTCAACACAGCCTTATAATGCTGTGAAAAGATTCAGAAACCCAAATGTTTTGGGTGGATTCCATTGTCATGACTTGCCCTCATGGGTTGAGGATCAAACATACCGGCTAGGTAAAGGTTTGAACATCTCTTTCCTGGGGGCCAGTTTTATGACCGGTCGTAAATACCATGCACACTTTCTCTTCCTTGCCATGAAGTATTGGGAGAAAGGACCCCTTTGTTAACAAAGGAAGTCTTTCCGCCAAGACTCCAACATCCAAAAGTGGATAATGAAACAATATTCCTACTTAAAAGAATGTGGGAAATGGTTAGTGGGGATCTAAAGAATAATCATGTCATATTGTTTATTATTTTGTGATGTCATTAAGGATGGTATCAAGTAATAACTGTAACTCTGAAATTATATTCTATCTATCTAAGTTTACATCTAAATGTTGTATAAAATATATGATTAAGTATGAGAGTATTTTGGTGAAGATAGGAATGTGATTTTAGTCTTCTAATGAGATAATAGTTTTTCATATAAACTATGCACAGTGACTAGCCACGCCCCGAGTGACATCAGAGATCGTGTCATCACGATGGAACGCCCCTTTTACCCAGAGGGCATAAAAAGCCTTGATAAACAAATCAACCTTTAGACCAGCAGATGTGAAGCGTGACCTAAACGTTGCAAATGATTGAATTTCTACCAGACCAGACCAGACCAGGAAACATGAGACGTTAGTCCACACGTTTGAAATGGAGAAACTCTGAAACTCTCAACCTCTACATGAGGTGAAGAAGAAGACAATGCACTAGACCTTATCATTTCAGTCTGCAGCTGGCATGTATAGTTGTCTAGAGAACTTTCACTAAAGACATGAGAGGAGAGGACAATCCCTCTCAGACAACCGCTGGTACATCTGAAGTATCCATCCTAACCAGCACTACGACCAGAAACTCTACCAAGGACAAACCAGAGTCCTACATCATCAACTCAACTATCGAGGACAGCTACAAGTAAATAAAATGTTGCATTTCTAATCCGAATGAGCATTATTAGGATGCATAAGTATTCTGATTACCGTGAGCATAGTTTCCAAAGTAACCACGATAGTTTGAATCTCTGTCTCTCAATTCCACTCTGACCCTCCTTCTACCCAAGCATTCACGCTATTGTTAGTCCAGTCCACTAGGGACATGTTTTCATTGTATTACGTTAGTAATCAATAACCTATGTGTGTGCCCCAAATTCCTAATGAGTTAATTGTTACATGATTAATTTAATCGAGTGACAATTAAACATAGTTACAGTGGGGGAAAAAAGTATTTAGTCAGCCACCAATTGTGCAAGTTCTCCCACTTAAAAAGAGAACTAGGTACACGTCAACTATGACAGACAAAATGAGGAAAAGAAATCCAGAAAATCACATTGTAGGATTTTTTATGAATTTATTTGCAAATTATGGTGGAAAATAAGTATTTGGTCAATAACAAAAGTTTCTCAATACTTTGTTATATACCCTTTGTTGGCAATGACACAGGTCAAACGTTTTCTGTAAGTCTTCACAAGGTTTTCACACACTGTTGCTGGTATTTTGGCCCATTCCTCCATGCAGATCTCCTCTAGAGCAGTGATGTTTTGGGGCTGTCGCTGGGCAACACGGACTTTCAACTCCCTCCAAAGATTTTCTATGGGGTTGAGATCTGGAGACTGGCTAGGCCACTCCAGGACCTTGAAATGCTTCTTACAAAGCCACTCCTTCGTTGCCCGGGCGGTGTGTTTGGGATCATTGTCATGCTGAAAGACCCAGCCACGTTTAATCTTCAATGCCCTTGCTGATGGAAGGAGGTTTTCACTCAAAATCTCATGATACATGGCCCCATTCATTCTTTCCTTTACACGGATCAGTCGTCCTGGTCCCTTTGCAGAAAAACAGCCCCAAAGCATGATGTTTCCACCCCCATGCTTCACAGTAGGTATGGTGTTCTTTGGATGCAACTCAGCATTCTTTGTCCTCCAAACACGACGAGTTGAGTTTTTACCAAAAAGTTCTATTTTGGTTTCATCTGACATTCTTCCAATCCTCTTCTGGATCATCCAAATGCACTCTAGCAAACTTCAGACGGGCCTGGACATGTACTGGCTTAAGCAGAGGGACACGCTCTGGTCCCAGCTCTCTGCAGGTCATTCACTAGGTCCCCCATTGTGATCATTTTGACCCCACGGGGTGAGATCTTGCGTGGAGCCCCAGATCGAGGGAGATTATCAGTGGTCTTGTATGTCTTCCATTTCCTAATAATTGCTCCCACAGTTGATTTCTTCAAACCAAGCTGCTTACCTATTGCAGATTCAGTCTTCCCAGCCTGGTGCAGGTCTACAATTTTGTTTCTGGTGTCCTTTAACAGCTCTTTGGTCTTGGCCATAGTGGAGTTTGGAGTGTGACTGTTTGAGGTTGTGGACAGGTGTATTTTATACTGATAACAAGTTCAAACAGGTGCCATTAATACAGGTAACAAGTGGAGGACAGAGGAGCCTCTTAAATAAGAAGTTACAGGTCTGTGAGAGCCAGAAATCTTGCTTGTTTGTAGGTGACCAAATACTTATTTTCCACCATAATTTGCAAATAAATTCATAAAAAATCCTACAATGTGATTTTCTGGAGAAAAAAAATCTCAATTTGTCTGTCATAGTTGACGTGTACCTATGATGAAAATTACAGGCCTCTCTCATCTTTTTAAGTGGGAGAACTTGCACAATTGGTGGCTGACTAAATACTTTTTTCCCCACTGTAGGTGATTCGATAAATAACAGTCATACATTAAAATAAGTCACATCACGACACCATCCTCCTTATAAAACAAGCTTTGTTTCCAGAAGGTATCAAAATTGTCAATAAATGTTACACACACAGAGCTGCAATAGTCTCGTAGGCAGTTATGGAGGGCTAAAAGTCTGCTGAAACATTCAATGCCACGATTTAGGGAGGGCAGAGGGCCAGATACAGTGTCTTGTGAAAGTATTCACCCCCCTTGGCATTTTTCCTATTTTGTTGCCTTACAACCTGGAATTAAAATGGATTTTTGGGGGATTTGTATCATTTGATTTACACAACATACCTACCACTTTGAAGATGCAAAATATTTTTTGTGTGTGAAACAAACAAGAACTAAGACAAAAAAACTGAAAACTTGAGCATGCATAACTATTCACCCCCCCAAAGTAAATACTTTGTAGAGCCACCTTTTGCAGCAATTACAGCTGCAAGTCTCTTGGGGTATGTCTCTATAAGCTTGGCACATCTAGCCACTGAAGGAGCTGGAGCAAAACTGCTCCAGCTCCTTCAAGTTGGATTGGTTCCGCTGGTGTACAGTAATCTTTAAGTCATACCACAGATTCTCAATTGGATTGAGGGGTCATTGTCCTGCTGGAATGTGAACCTCCGTCCCAGTCTCAAATGTCTGGATGACTGAAACAGGTTTCCATCAAGACTTTCCCTGTATTTAGCGCCATCCATCATTCCTTCAATTCTGACCAGTTTCCCATTCCCTGCCGATGACTCTGGGGCATTTCAGAACAGGTGTATATATACTGAGATCATGTGACAGATCATGTGACACTTAGATTGCACACAGGTGGACTTTATTTTTCATTTCACTTCACCAATTTGGACTATTTTGTTTATGTCCATTACATGAAATCCAAATAAAAATCAATTTAAATTACAGGTTGTAATGCAACAAAATAGGAAAAACGCCAAGGGGGATGAATACTTTTGCAAGGCACTGTATTATGGGCCCTCATGAATACTAAATCGAATACTAAATCATGATATATGAATGGGGAAACACACAACTCATCTTGGTCATAGTAGTAGTACTTGCCTTATGTCAATTCACATCATGCTTGACAACACAAAGGAAACATGGATTCAACTAAAACTTTACATCATCTTATACGTAGTTAAAGGGATACTGCGAGCAATGCTACTGTACCTGTAGACTTCCAGTCATTGCGCTAATGCTAGTTAGTATTGGCTTGTGAAACTACCACTAACTTCCTTCATACTGCACACAGAGACATAAAAATGGGTCCATGAGGTCATCTGACTCTGGGTAAGTAAAATATCTCAGTATCCCTTAAAACGTCCCCCATTCTGAGAGCACGAGGAATAACAATGCTCATGCATCTATGGATGCCCATTCAATAGAAATGACTTCAGAGTCCGACACAATACAGTAGAGAGAGAACCCTCATCTTTCCCAGTCCGTAAACATACCGAAACCTCCATCACCTAAATTGAACAGTGAGAGTCTATGTGTGTGCAACAAGTTACACATTCCCCAGAGGACACTGGACATTCAACAACTTCATTTTGGTTCCCGTCCCCTGGGCTCTGACACGCAACCTGGTGCTACACTATACATTACATTATCACCAATCTCTGGTCCCACGGCTATACATCTCCTACCTCCATCCCTCACCCTCTCAGGCTTAAAACAAGGGGGTTAAAGTCTTATCTCCTGCCTCTAATCAAATCCCTGGGGATGATAAATGTCCCTTTAGTTTAAGAGAAAATGTTCAGCTGCTGTTAGATAGAGACTAGGATTGCGCCCCAAATTACACCCTATTCCCTATATACACTGCTCAAAAAAATAAAGGGAACACTAAAATAACACATCCTAGATCTGAATGAATGAAATAATCTTATTAAATACTTTTTTCTTTACATAGTTGAATGTGCTGACAACAAAATCACACAAAAATGATCAATGGAAATCAAATTTATCAACCCATGGAGGTCTGGATTTGGAGTCACCCTCAAAAAGTGGAAAACCACACTACAGGCTGATCCAACTTTGATGTAATGTCCTTAAAACAAGTCAAAATGAGGCTCAGTATTGTGTGTGGCCTCCACGTGCCTGTATGACCTCCCTACAACGCCTGGGCATGCTCCACAGTCTGTGGTGCAACGTGGCGTTGGTGGATGAAGCGAGACATGATGTCCCAGATGTGCTCAATTGGATTCAGGTCTGGGGAACGGGCGGGCCAGTCCATAGCATCAATGCCTTCCTCTTGCAGGAACTGCTGACACACTCCAGCCACATGAGGTCTAGCATTGTCTTGCATTAGGAGGAACCCAGGGCCTACCGCACCAGCATATGGTCTCACAAGGGGTCTGAGCACCGCCAGCATTCAAAAGTGACCAAACATCAGCCAGGAAGCATAGGAACTGAGAAGTGGTCTGTGGTCACCACCTGCAAAACCACTTCTTTATTGGGGGTGTCTTGCTAATTGCCTGTAATTTCCACCTGTTGTCTATTCCATTTGCACAACAGCATGTGACATTTATTGTCAATCAATGTTGCTTCCTAAGTGGACAGTTTTGATTTCACAGAAGTGTGATTGACTTGGAGTTACATTGTGTTGTTTAAGTGTTCCCTTTATTTTTTTGAGCAGTGTAGTTCACTACTTTTGACCAGGGCCCATAGTAGTGCACTATGTAGGGAATAGGGTGCCATTAAGGATGCAGCCTAGCTCAGCCTGGGAACCCGTGGCAGGGTAGGGTGGATAGGAGAGGAAAGGAGGAGAGAGCAGAGTAACACACTTAGAACAGGCTTATCTATCTCCGCTAATGAGTTACTGTATGTACAACTCTAGCGCCATTAGCTATGTTGGGAATTCCAATGTGTTTTAAAGAATACAACAGGGCTGAATGCTAACGAAGGTAGCATGAATCTGTGATGGGAGCTTGAGTAGATACTACTGAGACTGCTGGGGGCATCCTAATTATTAATCTGTATGTGGAGGGAAGGGGTGGGGTGCTCTGACTATACTAAAGGGAAATTAATCAAAATATACCTATGAGACTTTAACGACCTGAACCCTACTCTTTACAAAAATAATAGTTACCTTTCCATTCAAATTCTGCACTGATCACATTTCAAAGGTGATTGAGTACCACAATTGTTATTATAGCTGAACAGAAACTGGGTTAGGAGCAGTATACTATTCCATGGAGGGCCTATGTGATATACTAAACAGTATGTATGTGATATACTGAACAGTATGTATGTGATATACTGAACAGTATGTATGTGATATTCTGAACAGTATGTATGTGATATACTGAACAGTATGTATGTGTTATACTGAACAGTATGTATGTGATATACTGAACAGTATGTATGTGATATACTGAACAGTATGTATGTGTTATACTGAACAGTATGTAAGTGTTATACTGAACAGTATGTATGTGATATACTGAACATTATGTATGTGATATACTGAACAGTATGTATGTGATATACTGAACAGTATGTATGTGTTATACTGAACAGTATGTATGTGATAAACCAGGGGAAGACTAATAGGTTTTACCCCCTATATGTGCAGCTGCCAGAATGCACATATATATCCTGAGAATGTTTCCTGCACGCGCGTGCACACAAACAGATGGAGGAAACAGACTCTCCATAGCTAGATGTCGAGGAACACAAGGTACATTCTGAGAATATACAGACAGTAACGTATGGAAGTGATGTGGGAATGAGTAACATCTAGGAAATAAGACTATTTACCATGAACAATAAGACAGTGGGAAAACACCCTCTTACCCCCTGCAGTTTTCCCAAACATATGGAACATAACACTTATTTTGAAATTGTGCTTTATTTAGGGATACAAAAAAATGCCCTGCAGTGAAAAATTATTCATAGGTACTAGCCAATTTTCCAATAACAGGAACAAATTGTCTCTAAAAACTCAATATTTCCTTTGGAGTCTTAGTACCAAAATACACTGAAGCCTGCCTGCCTACTGCTGTATAATGCAGGCAGAGCAGAACAAATAAAACACTGTGTAAACAATAGCTGAGAGACCCTAACCCGTATCTCACCCTGATGATTAGGAATGATAGGAATAGCAGCACCTCCTGGTTACACACAGAGAGGAGGCCGATCACAGCTCTATGCCTGCAGGCCAGAACAGACAAGCTAACACACAGAGAGAAGAGGCTGATCACAGCTCTATGCCTGCAGGCCAGAACAGACAGGCTAACACACAAAGAGAGGAGGCTGATCACAGCTCTATGCCTGCAGGCCAGAACAGACAGGCTAACACACAAAGAGAGGAGGCTGATCACAGCTCTATGCCTGCAGGCCAGAACAGACAGGCGCCTTAGAATAGACAATATGTACAGTAGACAATATGGTAGCCTTGTACATTACATTTACATTTACATTTTTGTCATTTAGCAGACGCTCTTATCCAGAGCGACTTACAGTTAGTGAGTGCATACATTATTTAAAAAAAAAGTTCATACTGGCCCCCAGTAGAGTAGACAACATGGCTCACATCACTGGGAGAACATTGTCTGTGTGTGTGTGTGTAATATTATTATACTGTACATCTCAGGGCTCCAAACAGACAAGGGTATGAGTGTGATGGTTAAAGGCCCAGTCGTTTAACACTCATCTCACATGAAACAATCACCCACAAGGACAAGGGGGCAGAGGGAACACTTATACATGTACTAATGAGGGGAATATGAACCAGGTGTGTGTAACTGACAAGACAAGACAAATGGAATTATGAGATATGGAGCGGCAGTGGCTAGAAGGCCGGTAACGATGAACGCCGAAGCCTGCCCGAACAAGAAGGGGAGGCAGCTTCGGAGGAAGTCGTGACAATAATACTGTGAAAAAGTGAAAATTATGATAATACCCTTTTAGTGTAAGAGCTCTTTGAAAAGACCGTCTGGAATGTTAGCCTGTTTTGGTGGGATGGAGTTTTGGCCTGCCTGGTGACATCACCAGGTGGTAATTTAGTTAATAGACCAATAAGAAAGAGTTACAAATCTCTCTGCCAATAACAAGAAGTTTTCTGTTTTCCTCTCCCCACTCAGACCACTCAAGCAAGATTTTTCCTAGCTAAATTCTTGCTTGAGACATTGCTCTTGCTAAGAAGCTATTTTTGTTTCTTTTTTTTACCATTTTAATTTAAAACAATCACAGTAAGGAACTTAAATGTTACCTAGAAATGATTTGATATTGAAATAAAAACGCAGCATTGGGCCTTCAACACTCCAATGCCCTAGGCTCTAGTCTATCACTGTACTAGTATAACAACTGGGGAAATATTAGTGTGGATGAGTTAAACAACTTCATCTTGATATTATTTTTATATGAGCTTGACATCATTCTTTAAATCTTACACAATCTGTTCCTGAATAGAAGTGTTGAACGTTTGCACTCAGGCTAGTATGAATGGTGCGTGTGAGAAAAAATATCTGAGTTCAAACCACGAAAAATAAAAAAAACAAGGAGGCCGAGATGCATATTTTTTTAATCCATGCTCTAAGGAACGCAAAACGGGGAAAGTGCAAAGTGCTAAACAAAAAAACAGCATACATTTCGGCTTTTACACCTTGTTACGGATACAGGTATCCTGTGTCTTTTTGTGTTTTTCCTCTCCTTCTGCCCTAATCACAGGTGTCCTGTATGTTCCTGATTGGTGGTCGTTGGGGTGTCTGCTGATTGCTAAGGTGGACCAATCAGTGAACATTCCTCTGCATTGCACCACCTGTTTCTGGTTTTTCAATCACACATCCCATTGTTTAAAAGCCGGAAAGTTGGTAATTTTGTTAGAGACTATTTTTCGTATGTGAGTATGGATACTGTGGTGTCCTGTGTTTTGTTTACTCACTAAGTTGCTGGTTACTCTGTTTGGTAACTTTGTTAGACTATTTTTCGTATGTGAGTATGGATACTGTGGTGTCCTGTGTTTTGTGTACTCACTCATTTGCTGGTTACTCTGTTTGGTAACTTTGTGTGTTTCTGGGAAAAGGGGAATTTAAGCAAGTTGCCCTTGGGCGTACATTACCCGTAGGAAGAAAACTGTCTAAAAACGTGTGTCGCAAACCATTGTGGTTTGCTCTTTTAAGGGTGGGAGTGTTACGGATACAGGTATCCTGTGTCTTTTTGTGTTTTTCCTCTCCTTCTGCCCTAATCACAGGTGTCCTGTATGTTCCTGATTGGTGGTCGTTGGGGTGTCTGCTGATTGCTAAGGTGGACCAATCAGTGAACATTCCTCTGCATTGCACCACCTGTTTCTGGTTTTTCAATCACACATCCCATTGTTTAAAAGCCGGAAAGTTGGTAATTTTGTTAGAGACTATTTTTCGTATGTGAGTATGGATACTGTGGTGTCTTGTGTTTTGTGTACTCACTCATTTGCTGGTTACTCTGTTTGGTAACTTTGTGTTTCTGGGAAAAGGGGAATTTAAGCAAGTTGCCCTTGGGCGTACATTACCCGTAGGAAGAAAACTGTCTAAAAACACTAGTTAGACCTGAGCGGACCACCCACTGTACTTTTGTATGATTAGCAGTAGCTTAGCGGTTCTTGAGGCAGGCAAGATCAGTTTAGGGGTGTTTTACACTATTGTTTCATTTCTTGGGTCCTGCTCAGCCCTTTTTCCCAAACCTTTACCGTGTGTTCAAAAATAAACCTTTTATGTTTGACGGTAGTTTATGGTTGTCGTGTAGTTTTTGTTCTCACTGTTCCATGTCACGATTCTAATTTGCATGAATTATGTTACGGGTCTCTTCTCCATCCACCCTAGACGTTTAAAGCCACGGGGTTCGTAACACACCTTCATCAGTGCTGTACAAACTAATTAAGAGGAGACACATACTTAAGACGCACCTGTCACAGGTGCAACAGGTGCAGGAAACAAGACGCACAGGTGCGTCTTCTTAAGTATGTGTCTGTTCTTAATTAGTTTGTACATGACTGATAAAGGAGTAGAAGCCGAAATGTATGTATTTTTGCATCTCTGCCTCCTTGTTTTTTTCATTTTCATTGTTTGTATAGAAGTGTTGAAAGTAATTTAATCCCTACAATCTTCCCTTTTAATTTGGATGTTTTCAAAGAGGAGTAACTTTCCTCTCCATCTGAGCAGTGGGAACAAAAAACCCACTAAAACGGCTCATTATAAATGACACCATTTTTACATTTACATTTTTAGTCATTAAGCAGACGTTCTTATCCAGAGCGACTTACAGCGGTTGAACATACAGTACTGGAGGAGAAATACAGTCTGGCTGTCCATGCTGCTTTTAAATAAAACGGCATCATCAGCCATGAATCAAATTCCTGTATTCCTACCATACTAACTATACGAACTGATGAAGGCTGTACTGTACAGAACAGAAGGCTGTCATCTATAATTAAAAAGATCTACATGCCCTATACGTAGTCTGAATTTATAATCAACTCCAGAACGCGTGTGAACAAGTGTACGGATGAGAGAGGGAGCATATAAGAGGTGATATACAGTAGGAGCAGATGATGCAAGACCGCTCTGTCCCAAGTCTTATCATGTTTTATGAATCTTTAACTAGTGTTGTACAGGAAGTAGTGTGACATGATGGTGTACAATACAGTAATTATCTTGTCACATTATAGAAATGTTGGTCCCACCATAGACCATATACTATAGTAATGCCATGGTTATATTCATGCAAGCTGAAAACAGGTATAATAGTTGTGAAAAAGTACTGTCTCGCTACCTGCAATGTAATTACACAGTGCTTACATGGGTATTACCCTGTAACTACTCGGGTAAAAAGTGTGCGTCCAGTAAAGTGGTACTGAAGGAGATAGGAAGTTGGCCTGTCCAGATAAAAGATGAGATACTCTCCTTCAAAAGTTAGTTACCCTTGTCTCGAAACCTATAAGCCAATAACAACCGGCCCTGATTAGTGTATTACTGCCAATAGCGAGTGAGTACATTGATTAGTCCAGTTACTGTACTGTGTTCCTCCTTGGTCTGCCTCCGTATGACTCGTCCAGAAGTAAACCTGTTGTTACACTAATCCCATCTTTTCCTGCTGTGAGGGCTGTGTTACACAGCTACATCTGGGCTGTGTTCACTAAGCACAAAACGGAAGGAAACCACTTCGGTTTTTAAACCACTAATTGACCAACATCAGTTCAATTATTTTAATTCCATAAAAAAACAAAAACAATGTTAGCTCGATGCGCACATTGCACAGTTTCGCTGAATTTTTTTACATTTTAGTCATTTAGCAGACACTCTTATCCAGAGCGACTTACAGTTAGTGAGTGCATACATTTTCATGCTGGCCCCCCGTGGGAATCGAACCCACAACCCTGGCGTTGCAAGCGCCATGCACTACCAACTGAGCTGTGCGATGTAGTACGGCGTTGTAGTTTCCAACAGGCCAATATTCTACATAGTTAAGCACATAAAACGTGGTAATTAACTACAATGACCATAATCCATTGAGCATCTACTTGTCTGGTCTGTGTTTCTTTTACGCTTGCTGTGGAAAAGACAGAAGAATGAATGATCGTGAGGTGAGGGCCCATAATACAGTGACTTGCAAAAGTATTCATCCCCCTTGGCATTTTTCCTATTTTGTTGAATTACAACCTGTAATTTAAATTGATTTTTATTTGGATATCTTGTAATGGACATACACAAAATAGTCCACATTGGTGAAGTGAAATGAAAAAAATAACTTGTTTCAAAAAATTCGAACTAAATAAATAACGGAAATGTGGTGCGTGCAAATGTATTCACCCCCTTTGCTATGAAGCCCCTAAATAAGATCTGGTGCAACCAATTACCTTCAGAAGTCACATAATTAGTTAAATAAAGTCCACCTGTGTGCAATCTAAGTGTCACATGATCTGTCACACGATCTCAGTATATATACACCTGTTCTGAAAGGCCCCAGAGTCAGCAACACCACTAAGCAAGGGGCACCACCAAGCAAGCGGCACAATGAAGACCAAGGAGCTCTCCAAACAGGTCAGGGACAAAGTTGTGGAGAAGTACAGATCAGGGTTTGGGTTATAAGAAAATATCAGAAACTTTGAACATCCCACGGAGCACCATTAAATCCATTATTAAAAAATTGAAAGAATATGGCACCACAACAAACCTGCCAAGAGAGGGCCGCCCACCAAAACTCACGGACCAGGCAAGGAGGGCATTAATCAGAGAGGCAACAAAGAGACCAAAGATAACCCTGTAGAAGCTGCAAAGCTCCACGGCAGAGATTGAAGTATCTGTCCAATTTAAGCCGTACACTCCAAAGAGCTGGGCTTTATGGAAGAGTGGCCAGAAAAAAGCCATTGCTTAAAGAAAAAAATAAGCAAACACGTTTGGTGTTCGCCGAAAGCCATGTGGGAGACTCCCCAAACATATGGAAGAAGGTACTCTGGTCAGATGAGACAAAGGAAAACGGCCATCAAGGAAAACGCTATGTCTGGCGCAAATCCAACACCTCTCATCACCCCGAGATGTTTTTCATCGGCAAGGACTGGGAAACTGGTCAGAATTGAAGGAATGATGGATGGCACTAAATACAGGAAAATTCTTGAGGGAAACCTGTTTCAGTCTTCCAGAGATTTGAGACTGCGTCGGAGGTTCACCTTCCAGCAGGACAATGACCCTAAGCATACTGCTAAAGCAACACTTTCGTGGTTTAAGGGGAAACATATAAATGTCTTGGAATGGCCTAGTCAAAGACCAGACCTCAATCCAATTGAGAATCTGTGGTATGACTTAAAGATTGCTGTACACCAGCGGAACCCATCCAACTTGAAGGAGCTGGAGCAGATTTGCCTTGAAGAATGGGCAAACATCCCAGTAGCTAGATGTGCCAAGCTTATAGAGACATACCCCTAGAGACTTGCAACTGTAATTTCTGCAAAAGGTGGCTCTACAAAGTATTGACTTTGGGGGGGGTGAATAGTTATGCACGCTCAAGTTTTCTGTTTGTTTCACAAGAAAAAATATTTTGCATCTTCAAAGTGGTAGGCATGTTGTGTAAATCAAATTATACAAACCCCCAAAAGGCAACAAAATAGGAAAAATGCCAAGGGGGGTGAATACTTTCGCAAGCCACTGTATATACAGAAGTATGTGGACACCCCTTCAAATTAGTGGATACGGCTATTTCAGCCACTCCCGTTGCTGACAGGTGTATAAACTCGAGCACACAGCCATGCAATCTCCAAAGACAAATATTGGCAGTAGAATGGCCTTACTGAAGAGCTCAGTGACTTTAAACGTGGCACCGTCATAGGATGTGGCTCCTGAGTGGCGCAGTGGTCTAAGGCACTGCATCGCAGTGCTAACTGTGCCACTAGAGATCCGGGTTCGAATCCAGGCTCTGTCGCAGCCGGCCGCGACCGGGAGACTCATGGGCGGTGCACAATTGGCCCAGCGTCGTCCAGTGTAGGGGAGGGAATGGCCGGCAGGGATGTAGCTCAGTTGATAGAGCATGGCGTTTGCAACGCCAGGGTTGTGGGTTTGATTCCCACGGGGGGGTGCAGTATAAAATATATATGTATTCACTAACTGTAAGTCGCTCTGGATAAGAGCGTCTGCTAAATGACTAAAATGTAAATGTAATGCCACCTTTCCAACAAGTCAGTTCGTCAAATTTCTGCCCTGCTAGAACTGCTCCAGTCAACTGTAAGTGCTTTTATTGTGAAGTGGAAACATCTAGGAGCAGCAAGTGGTAGGCCTCACAAGCTCACAGAACGGGACCGGCAAGTGCTGAAGCGCGTAGTGCGTAAGAATTGTCTGTCCTCGGTTGCAACAGAGAAATGGATGATAACTGGATGAAATGGATGACTTCCTTGTCTAACAGAACGCAGAGGGTGTTCTTTAATGGAAGCCTCTCACACATAATCCAGGTAGAATCAGGAATTCCCCAGGGCAGCTGTCTAGGCCCCTTGCTTTTTTCCATCTTTACTAATGACATGCCACTGGCTTTGAGTAAAGCCAGTGTGTCTATGTATGCGGATGACTCAACACTATACACGTCAGCTACTACAGCAACTGAAATAAATGCAACACTTAACAAAGAGTTGCAGTTAGTTTCGGAATGGGTGGCAAGGAAGTTAGTCCTGAATATTTCAAAAACTAAAAGCATTGTATTTGGGTCAAATCATTCACTAATTCCTAAACCTCAACTATATCTCGTAATGAATAATGTGGAAATTTAGCAAGTTGAGGTAACTAAACTGCTTGGAGTAACCCTGGATTGTAGACTGTCATGGTCAAAGCATATTGATACAACAGTAGCTAAGATGGGGAGAAGTATGTCCATAATTAAGCGCTGCTCTGCCTTACATTTACATTTTAGTCATTTAGCAGACGCTCTTATCCAGAGCGACTTACAGTTAGTGAATAAATGTAAAAAAAAAAAATTATACTGGCCCCCCGTGGGAATCGAACCCACAACCCTGGCGTTGCAAACGCCATGCTCTATCAACTGAGCTACATCCCTGCCGGCCAGTCCCTCCCCTACCCTGGACGACGCTGGGCCAATTGTGCGCCGCCCATGAGTCTCCCGGTCCACCAGGATCTCTAGTGGCACAGTTAGCACTGCGATGCAGTGCCTTAGACCACTGCGCCACTCCTGAGTGGCGCAGCCTTCTTAACAACACTATCAACAAGGCAGGTCCTACAGGCCCTAGTTTTGTCGCACCTAGACTACTGTTCAGTAGTGTGGTCAGGTGCCACAAAGAGGGACTTGGGAAAATTGCAGTTGGCTCAGAACAGGGCAGCACGGCTGGCCCTTAAAAGTACACGGAGAGCTAACATTAATGACATGCATGTCAGTCTCTCCTGGCTCAGAGTGGAGGAGAGATTGACTTCATCACTGCTTGTTGTTGTAAGAGGTGTTGACAAGCTGAATGTACCGAGCTGTCTGTTTGGAATACTGGCACACCCATGTATACCCCACAAGACATGCCACCAGAGGTCTCTTCACAGTCCCCAAGTCCAGAACAGACTATGGGAGGTGCACAGTACTACATAGAGCCATGACTACATGGAACTCTATTCCACATCAGGTAACTGATGCAAGCAGTAGAATCAGATTTTAAAAACAGGTAAAAATACAACTTATGGAACAACGGGGACTGTGAAGAGATACAAACACAAGGGTATAGACACATGCATACGCACACATTGTGATATTGTTGTATGGTGTTTTTAAACATTTTGTATTGTAGATAGGTAGTAGTGTAATAATGTCATATGATGTACTGTTTTATATTTTGTTTTATATGTATTGTAAGTGCTTTAATATGTTTGGACCCCAGGAAGAGTGGTAGGGGATCCCTAGTAAATACAAATACAAACACTCACTATCAAGTTCCAAACTGCCTCTGGAAGCAACGTCAGCACAATAACTGTTCGTCGGGAGATTCATGAAATGGGTTTCCATGGCCGGACATCCGCAGAAAAGCCTAAGATCACCATGCGCAATGCCAAGCGTCGGCTGGAGTGGTGTAACGCTCGCCGCCATTGGACTCTGGAGCAGTGGAAATGCGTTCTCTGCAGTGATTAATCACGCTTCACCATCTGGCAGTCCGACGGCTGAATCTGTGTTTGGCGGATGCCAGGAGAACACTACCTGCCCCAATGAATAGTGCCAACTGTAATGTTTGTGTCACGCCCTGGCTCTGGGGACTCTTATATGTTGAGCCAGGGTGTTAGTTTCTATGTTTAGTGTTCTATGTTTATGTTCTAGTTCATGTGTTTCTATGTTGGCCGGGGTGGTTCCCAATCAGAGGCAGCTGTGGCTTGTTGTCTCTGATTGGGAACCATACTTAGGCAGCCTGTTTTGCACTTGTCATTTGTGGGATCTTGTTCCGGAGAGGTTTGTGTTTTGTTAACCTTAGGACTTCACGTATCGTTTTGTTGTAGTGTATAAAGTACTCAATAAAAGATGTACGCATATCACGCTGCGCCTTGGTCCGTTGCTTACGACGATCGTGACAGTTTGTTGGAGGAATAATGGTCTGGGGCAATTTTTCATGGTTCGGGCTAGGCCCCTTAGTTCCAGTGAAGGGAAATCTTAGTGCTACAGCATAGAATGACATTCTAGACGATTCTGTGCTTCCAACTTTGTGGCAACAGTTTGGGGAAGGCCCTTTCCTGTTTCAGCATGACAATGCCCCTGTGCACAATGCAAGGTCCATACAGAAATGGTTTGTCGAGATCGGTGTGGAAGAACTTGACTGGCCTGCACAGAGCCCTGACCTCAACCACATCGAACACCTTTGGGATGAATTGGAACGCCAACTGCGAGCCAGGCCTAATCACCCAACATCAGTGCCCGACCTCACTAATGCTCTTGTGGCTGAATGGAAGCAAGTCCCAGCAGCAATGTTCCAACATCTAGCGGAAAGCCTTCCCAGAAGAGTCGAGACTGTTGGCACCAACTCCATATTTAATGCCCATGACTTTGGAATGAGGTGTTCGACGAGCAGGTGTCCACAAACTTTTGGTGATGTAATGTATCTCTACCTGAAAATACATTATATAAGTGATCGATAGTTGGTCTTCAGCAGTCATAAAAGTATGCCTTATTTACTTTGAAGATCCTACAAAGTAGTGATTTTGTCAGACAGCATAGGCAGCAGCTCTATAGAGATGAGTCATCAAATAAAACAAATGTAATGTACACAACAACTGAAATATTTTATTAAAGTAAAGTCATGTGAATAAATCATGGTTAATAAGCAGTAATGTGCAGTCCCTACCATCATGGGACTTTTATTAATTGTTTTATTCTGTGTTGTTACAGCATTCAACCCATATAATACATAGTGCATTTAATGTTTAAAAAAATAACCGAAACCGAAATCAAAAACTGTGTTTATTTTTAATAATCAAACCGAAACTGAACTGACCTCAAAAAGCACTAATCGCTCAGCACTACTACCTGTTAACTAAAGGTTGTGGGGTGAATCCTAATTTCCACTGAAATCTCATTATCATGTTGACATCAATGTATGAAGTGAAAATACATTTTTAGTGGAAGTTAGGATTCTCTCCTAAATATAGGTTCAATCAAGTTAACCTCTACGCAGTGGCGGCTGGTGAAAAATATTCTCGGTGGGGCTGTGCCATACTTTTTTTTTCCTGTAACCATCGCGATATATTTTAACACAAACTGAAGGACAGCAGTGCTCAGTGAAACATTCAGTAATTATTTAATGCCAATATTAAAAAGTTGAGGCATTCTTACACAAAAACATATTACACAAACCCAAGCCTTTCATTTGCATTTAAAGTGAACTTTTTACCATTGGTAGTAAACAGGCAACGCAACAGGCATGCTGTCAGAACAGAGTGGAAAGTGGACAATAACATGAAATTATTATAAAGTTTATAGGAAATCTTATACTGTATAAAAGGATGTATAATATAGAAATGGATATCAAGTGGATGAACTCAAACCTTTGACTGGAAGAATAGCATACAGTATTTTATGATCATACTAAATGTGACTAATTGTTAATGTGCTCCAGAACTGCAACAATTAATTGATACAAAACAACATATATACAGTAATATTAGCAAAGACACTATTAAGACTTTCTAGAGTACCATATATAACTGGATTTTTTATGCTAAGGTCAACTATATACAAAGAAACATGCGGCCAGAGCTGCTCTGTGTGTGTGTGTCTGTCATCTTATTTGTACAGGAATTTTGCCCGTCTGTCCTTCTGAGTGGCAAACCTCTCAATGACCCTTTGATTAAAGTCAGGAATGTCCCTGACAAGTTTCTTCTCCATGGAGAGCATGGCCAGAGCGTTCAGGCGATCCTGTGTCATGCTGTTCCTCAGGAAGGTCTTGATCCTTTTCAGTGTAGAGAAGCACCTTTCTGACTCAGCAGTTGTCATGGGTGTGGTGATGAGGATCTTGAGGAGGCTGGCAGTCTCTGTGAAAGTGCTCTGAAGGTTGTTCTCCATGAAGAACTGGTACAGGGGCACTGCACCACTACAAGCCTTGAACTCACTGTTCTCATAGATGAGGGACAGTTCGGTTTTGAGCTTGGCCTTGTTCAACATGGGGTACGCCTCCACGGTTGTTTCAAGCGCTGTATCGGGGAACTTCACACTGTGTTGTGGGAACAACTCTCCGTGCAATAGTGTTGCGCTGATGAGGTGCTGGGTGAAGGAGAACCTCTCTTTGGCATGACTCAGGATGGTATCACATACCTGTAAAAGATACATCATCAGCTTTAATTTGCAATTAAGCTATTTTGATGCAAGTGATCCTGACTGACACATGCCTATGTCCAACTCAAGTATATGATTACCAAGGTGCTGATTGTTCAGGGTTTTGGCTACATACAACCAGGCCTGAAAAAAGTTATATGGGGAAACACTGACAATTACATCACAACTTACCTCTATAGCCAACCTCTGTTGTTCTCCTGGTCCCAGCATCCTCCGTCGCTTGATGGGCTGTTGCTGCTCGTCAGATGCGCTGTCCCCACACAAAGAGGGAATTGAGGCCCTGGGTCCAAAAAATAAAGTTGAATTTGATAACTTGCAATCAGACTTCTTAGCTCACTGTAATTCCCCCTCAACACACAACCAGTGACTTTTATATATATATATATATATATATATATATATATATATATATATATATATATAGACAGACAGACAGACAGACAGACAGATAGTGTGTATATACACACAAACTATGTCTAGTAACTGCTTTTAACCTGTGATGTACATGATTAACTGATGTTATTACGTTTTAAAGCCTTTTTCTATTACATTTGTGAGAGGGATGCAACATAATTTTGTTCTGCTGTGCACTTAGCAATAAAGTTAATCTTCAATAACAACTAGGCCTCTTCTAGAAATTGACCTGGTGGACACCTGAATAATTATTACAAACTGTGTAGTACTTTCCTGCATTATTATCAACGTCTGATTGTGTCTTTTTGGACAAACACTTGTTCTCGTGGTCGAGTAACAACAACTGCGCTCCTTGAGTGACGGGGTGGTACTTGGTGAGAGAGGGAGAGAGACGACCCAAATTGCGGAGTAAACTAGAAAAACGGACGTTACACATGGCGGAGTGGCATTACCACATTTAACAAACCAAACATTGAAATACCGTTATAGAAGGTAAAGTAAAAACCCAAACTGGTCTGTGCATCAATACCGGTATATAGTAATATATAGGCAACATACCGTAAATCTGTATCAATTATGTATCCGTTTTACATGTGACCCATATCAAATTTGCGCATTCACACTGAAGGAGCACACAAATGCAATGCTCATTTGGCGTGATTGTCGTGGTAACACAGGTGAAAAAAAATCCTGAATGGTATCCTAATGGCAGCCATTTTGGTTAGGGAGAAATACAAACAACTCTACTGCCATACATTCCAATTAGACTGAAGGCATACAGTTGTGTCCAAATATATTGGCACCCTTGGGCTTTTCTTAAATAATTCCCTATTTCTTCTAAAATCAGTTGAAATTTGAGAGGAAAAAATGGGTCTCCACACCTTTAATTATATTTCTGTAAACTTAAGTTTACAATTGTAATTTAGAAAATATAGACAAATGTCATGGACTAAATTATTGGCACCCTGGAGCTAGTACTTGGTTGCACAGCTTTTGGCCAAGATAGCTGCCAACATATGCTTATTGTAGACATCAATGAGCTTGCTGCACCTTTTCTGCTGGCAATTTGGCCCATTCTTCAGCAGCAAACTGCTGTAATTCTTCAATGTTTGAGGGTTGCACTCCACCAACTTCTTTTTTCAGATCTTGCCAAAACTAATGTGGTCCCGTGTAGCTCAGTTGGTAGAGCATGGCGCTTGCAACGCCAGGGTTGTGGGTTCGTTTCCCACGGGGGCCAGTATGAAAAAATGTATGCACTCTTAACTGTAAGTCGCTCTGGATAAGAGCGTCTGCTAAATGACTAAAATGTAATGTAAATGTCTTCTCTTTCCTTTTAAAATACTAAAACAAATATAATTGTGACGGCTCTATGATAATCACTCACTTTGATGACCAGACACATTTAGGCTTTTAAACTGTTGTAAGTAAACTATTCATCTTTCTAACAGCATCTTTATCAGCCAATAGTAAATATAGTTATTTACCTGATTGTTAGCATGCTTTCTGTGAACCTCTGGACAAGTGCTTTAATGAAGACAGGGTCGATGTTCCTCTTCTGCAGCTGGCTGAAAAGCATGTCCACATTTGGCATGATCTTGTGGAACAGTGCCAGGAAAAAACAGAAAGCCTCGTCTTCGAGCATCCTCACAAAGCCCCCCGCCTCTCTGACAGTCGGGGCATCAAAGTTCCCAGAGTCTCTGATGGTCTGGAAACACGTTAGTGGGTGGAAACGTCAGTCGTCTCGTCAGCTTGAATGGCGATAAAATCAGCACTCTTTACTTCCTCCAGGATGTAATCCTTAAGCACTGACAGCATACATTCCAACAGCTCGTTCTGTATCGTCTTTAACGTGCCCTTAAAAACGGTAGCTGTCTTCAGGTGCTCCTCCAGCACACTGTCGAGGGAGGCAACAAAATCCACTAAGCCCCGGAAAATGCCGGGGTTGTCCGAGGAGTCAGTCTCCTCGTGCCCACGCAAGGCCAACTCAAAAGCCCCACAGAACTTCACACAATCGATAATTTTGGATAGAATGTGCCTGTTTTTATCCACCTCCTCATTGTGTTTCCTCACCGCAATCCTGTGGCCGTCATCCAGCTGCGTAGCAATGTTCACCCTTCCTAATACAGCTAGCTTTACAGAGTTGTCCATGTGTGCCCTGGTGTTCTCATGTTTCTTTACCTTCTCTGACAGGTGCTTCATATCCCTCACTCCGGTACCTGTCCATGCTGAATCTGACCCCGTCGTTTTAAAAAGCAAGCACGGAAAGCAAAATAAAGCATTAGCATCAGTGCACCCAGCTAGCCAAGCCTTCCTGGTGTACCAGCTACGGGAGAAGCCGCGCATATACTGCTTCCCTTTCTCGCTAGCCTGCTGTCTGATTGAGAGGTCAGGTTGATCTGGGCCCAGCTCTTTCACCCGAACTTTCTCTGACAAAGTTCTCCTCTCAAACGGATCTTGGAGGAGAGATTTCACCGAGTTAGGGTTGGGTCTTGGAGGAGTAACGTTTGCGTTCGCCATTGTCGTCTAGTAAAAATGGCGCCACTGGAGCCCGGTCCTTATTTTATCAGGGGCGAGCTTGGGGCGATAAAATAATCGCCCTCCTTGGATTCGAATTAAAATCGCTGATTAGCTACATTTTATGTCATACATTCATATCTTAAATTAGCAATTGGCTTAACTGCTACGTAGACCCGCCTCCTCGGGGCACTTTCTGTATCGCCCAGAGCTGACGAGGCGTTTGACAGGCAGAGGAAAGGTTGCGAATATGATTTTCTATCATATCTTACACATATTACTGTGTGCATTCCATATTTCAAACACACAAATATTGACATACTGATGTTTTTATTATTATTATTATTTTTTTTTTATTTTTATTTTATTTTTTAAAATAATTTTATTTAAGGGGGCGGCGCCCTAGCGCCCTCTATCGGCCAGCCGCCACTGCCTCTACGGGATCGGTGTCCCGTATATGGGACGGTTGAGCTAGCGTGCGCTAATGTGAATAGCATGACTGTTGTAAGTAACAGCAAACTTTCCAGGACATAGACATGTCTTATATGGGCAGAAAGCTTACATTCTTGTTAATCTAACTGCACTGTCCAATTTACAGTAGCTAGTACAGTGAAAAAATGCCATGCTATTGTTTGAGGAGAGTGCACAACAACAAAAAACGTATCACTGCAACGGGTTTGATACATTCACCTCTGAAGGTAAATAATGTACTTACATTCAGTAATATTGCTCTGATTTGTCATCCTAAGGGTCCCAGAGATAAAAATGTAGCATAGTTTTGTTTGATAAAATCAATTTTTATATTCAAATGTAGGAACTGGGTTCTACAGTTTGTACCCCTGCTGTCTCTGGCTCCACAGCCACCCCGCCCGGCCATCTAGATGTGTGAAAGTTAGTGTATAAGCTAATGATCCATCATCCAATCCTGGGAGTGTGCAAACTTACATTTTGTATTACCACATCATTTCTGTATGTTCTCTATAGTTATGTACTTGAAAATGTATAAATTTACCAATTCGGCACATTTGGGCGGACTTGATACAAAATAGTCCAGGATTGCAATGCTTCACTGGATCAATCTGAAACTTTGCACACACACTGCTGCTTTCTAGTGGCCAGAATCTAAATTGTGCCTAAACTGCAATATTATATTGTGGCTTTTCTCTTGCATTTCAAAAATAATGGAACAAACAAAATAATAGAAAACGCATGTTTTTTTGTTTGTATTATCTTTTACCAGATCTAATGTGTTATATTCTGCTACATTAATTTCACATTTCCATAAACTTCAAAGTGTTTCCTTTCAAATGGTATCAAAGATATGCCTATCCTTGCTTCAGGTCCTGAGCTACAGGCAGTTAGATTTGGGTATGTCATTTTAGGCGAAAATTGAAAAAAAGGGTCCAATCCTTAAGAGGTTAAATGACTAATATTAAAGTCCTACCTGCCCGTTTGAAGCTGTCTATGAGGCTCTGCCTCGTGGCGGTCTGGAGGTTTAAGTAGTCGTCCTCCTCATCGGGGGTCTTCAAGTACAGAAGGGTGTGCTGGAACACCAGGACGTGTTTGGTGGTGACTCCAGGCCCCTGGGAGGTCCTCTGCAGCTGGCCCTCTAACCAGGCCTCCTTGGCGTCTTTCAGGTCGGGGCACGCCGACATATCAAAGAACAGCTGGGAGTTGAGGACCAGACACAGCCACCCGCCAACCTGGAGATCAGAGTGAGACAGGGTTAGGATTACAGTATAGCTTAATGTTATTTAGATAATGTCATTATCAAATCAAATCAAGCTTTATTTATACAGCACATTTCAGACATGGAATGCAACGCAATGTGCTTCACAGGAAAAAAACTAATAAAAAACCCCAATGAAAATAAAAACTTAAATATTTACTACAGAACAAACATAAGATGATAAAAAACTAAAGAATAACAATAAGAACTGAAGGACTAAAAAGCTCCCTGAGGAAAAGCAAAGCTAAAAAGGTGTGTTTTAAGATCTCTTTTAAATGTCCACAGTTTCGGCCCCCCTCAGGTTCTCTGGCAGGCTATTCCAAAGGCTGGGGGCATAGTAACTAAAGGCTGCCTCTCCATTCCTTTTGGTCCTAGGCTTTGAGATAGTTAAAAGGCCAGTGCCAGAGGACCTGCGGGACCTACTGGGTACATAACTTAAAAGCATGTGTGACATGTATTGGGGTGCATAATCGTGGATTGATTTAAAAACCAATAGAATAATCTAAAACAGAATAATTCTAAAACTCACAGGCAGCCAGTGCAGAGACCTTAAAACCGGTGTAAAGTGAGCTCTCCGTTTTGTATTGGTCATTACCCGTGCTGCAGCATTCTGTATGTTTTGCAGTTGACCAATGGCTTTCTTGGGAAGACTAGACAGGAGAGCATTACAGTAGTCAAGCCTGCTTGTAATACAAGCATGGATGAGTCTCTCTGTATCAGCCTGAGAGAGAAACGGCCGCACCTTGGCAATGTTCCTCAGATAGTAAAAAGCTATTTTGGTCACATTCCTAATATGTGATTCGAAATTGAGTTCAGAATCTAAAATGACACCTAGGTTTTTTACATGTTTAGAGCATCATTTGTGGGACTGTCCTTGTCTATCAGTTTATCAGTGTTTTGTTACTTGTCATGTTTTGTGTTATTTGTGGACCCCAGGAAGAGTAGCTGCTGCTTCTGCAAAAGCTAATGGGGATCCAAATACATAAACAAATAAACAAAACAGTAGTAGGTTAATTCACGTTTGATTAAAGCGTTAGCTAAGGGGTGGCACTCTGTCCCTACCAGTCATGTTACAGGCCAATTGTTCCTATCCGGTTCAAAAGGACCAGTGTTTATGTAAGGGTTTTGTACAATAACCATCTACAGTACGTTTTCATCTCACTCTAGCCACCCACCCAGAAGCTGAAGTAGTCGTCTCCCCAGGCGTTGCAGAACTGGGCTACAGTCTCCGGGGTAGGTGTGTTACCCAGGTCAGGGTTCTCACTGACAAACACCAGAGGGATTGAGGGGTCTGTACCCCTCAGATCCACCTTCAAGTCCGGCTTGAGAATTGGATCAATGTTGGTTGTTGGTCTGGGAACAGTGGTGACATTTAGTTTTAACTTCCCAGGTTTTTTTTCTCCATTTAAAGTTTGGGTGGACATTATGGCCTGTTCACATCATTCATTACCATCCACATAATAAAAAAACTGAGAAATTGAACAAAGTGAATTTATCCGCTCTGTGAATAAAGTAAGGAGAAAGAGTAAAATACGTCTATTTATAATTTACAATCAAACAAACCCATCAATGCATAGCAAAGTATTTCTTCCTTCCTTCCATCCGGTTTTTATTTTTTCATTTAGGTAATTATTTTACTGCCCTACATTTGGAGTTAAAATTCCTTAGAAGTTTGGATAGGGTTGGTTTCATAAGACAAGAGCATTTCCGGCAATATGAATTGTGTTTGAAGTAGAGAATAATAATTGAGTTAAAACAAAACAAGATAAAAAAACAAAGTGAATTTTCACCTCCCTGCTATAATTAAGTGAACCTTTCTATATTCCGACACACGCACGCACGAGCACAAACACATAAACACACACACACACACACACACACACACACACACACACACACACACACACACACACACACACACACACACACACACACACACACACACACACACACACACACAGGAAATGGGAAAATGAGGATAGCTCCTTCTGTAATTTAAATATGGTGCTTGTATTCCCCATTCAAGCAGCTGTGGTGTCTGTAAAAGCATGCATTGCTTTTATTAACATTTGGGGATCCTCGTGGGGTGGAGAGCCCAATCAGCCCATATGTCTTGTAGAAAGGAATGGATGAGCAGGCAATCCTCTGATGACTGAAGTGGAGACAGGATAGGCTAAACCAGATCAGAGAGCCATCTGGACTAACAGTTACAATGCAATAACATTATTTAATCAGAGGAATATTTATCGTAAACAGCAACAAAATCAATCAAGTAAGAAAGAATAACAATCAAATGAGGTACAATGACTGCCAACTGACTGCTGATTGCTGATGTGAACAAAGGGACAATACATGGAGTCTGGTCTGAAGCTTTCATTAATATGTATAATTATGTCAAATACTACTGATAAATAAATGTTTCTGTCCTCTTAAATACATTTTCAAAACAAATAATAAAATACTAAAAAAGGAGCCCTCACCTACAGACACAGATAGGCTACTGTTGTTAGATCCACCACACTACACCAAATCAAATCAAATCAAATTGTATTTGTCACATGCGCCGAATACAACAGGTGTAGACCTTACAGTGAAACGCTTACTTACAAGCCCTTAACCAACAATGCAGTTTTAAGAAAAATAAGTGTTAAGTAAAAATAGATCACTAAAAACTAAAAAATACAAATAATTAAAGAGCAGCAGTAAAATAACAGTAGCGAGGCTATATACAGGGGGTAAATGTAAATGTAAATGTACCGGTACAGAGTCAATGTGCGGGGGCACAGGTTAGTCGAGGTAATTGAGGTAATATGTGCATGTAGATAGAGTTAAAGTGACTATGCATAGATAATAAACAGAAGAGGGGATGGGGGGGGGGGGGGGGGGGGGGGGGGGGGTGGAATGCAAATAGTCCGGGTAGCCATTTCATTAGCTGTTCAGGAGTCTTATGGCTTGGGGGTAGAAGCTGTGACCCCAAGAACACCATCCCACTGTCAAACATTATGCTTTGGGGGTGTTTTTCTGCTAAGGGGACAGGACAACTTCACCGCATCAAAGGGACGATGGACGGGGCCATGTACCGTCAAATCTTGGGTGAGAACCTCCTTCCCTCAGCCAGGGCATTGAGAATGGGTCGTGGATGGGTATTCCAGCATGATAATGACCCAAAACACACGGCCAAGGCAACAAAGGAGTGGCTCAAGAAGAAGCACATTAAGGTCCTGGAGTGGCCTAGCCAGTCTCCAGACCTTAATCCCATAGAAAATCTGTGGAGGGAGCTGAAGGTTCGAGTTGCCAAACGTCAGCCTCGAAGCCTTAATGACTTGGAGAAGATCTGCAAAGAGGAGTGGGACAAAATCCTTCCTGAGATGTGTGCAAACCTGGTGGCCAACTACAAGAAACATCTGAACTCTGTGATTGCCAACAAGGGTTTTGCCACCAAGTACTAAGTCATGTTTTGCAGAGGGGTCAAATACTTATTTCCCCCATTAAAATGCGTTTTCTGGATTTTTTTGTTGTTATTCTGTCTCTCACTGTTCAAATAAACCTACCATTAAAATTATAGACTAATCATTCCTTTGTCAGTGGGCAAATGTACAAAATCAGCAGGGGATCAAATACTTTTTTCCCTCACTGTACAGGGGGTACCGGTACAGAGTCAATGTGCGGGGGCACAGGTTAGTCGAGGTAATTGAGGTAATATGTGCATGTAGATAGAGTTAAAGTGACTATGCATAGATAATAAACAGAGAGTAGCAGCAGCGTAAAAGAGGGGATGGGGGGGGGGGGGGGGGGAGAATGAAAATAGTCCGGGTAGCCATTTGATTAGCTGTTCAGGAGTCTTATGGCTTGGGGGTAGAAGCTGTTAAGAAGCCTTTTGGATCTAGACTTGAGTCTTTGACAATTTTTAGGGCCTTCCTCTGACACCGCCTGGTATAGAGGTCCTGGATGGCAGGAAACTTGGCCCCAGTGATGTATTGGGCCGTACACACTACCCTCTGTCAGAGGCCGAGCAGTTGCCATACCAGGCAGTGATGCAACCAGTCAGGATGCTCTCGATGGTACAGCTGTAGAACCTTTTGAGGATCTGAGGACCCATGCCAAATCTTTTCAGTCTCCTGAGGGGGAATAGGCTTTGTCGTGCCCTCTTCACGACTGTCTTGTTGTGTTTGGACCAAGATAGTTTGTTGGTGATGTGGACACCAAGGAACTTGAAGCTCTCAACCTGCTCCACTACAGCCCCGTCGATGAGAATGGGGGCGTGCTCGGTCCTCTTTGTCCTGTAGTCCACAATCATCTGTTTGTCTTGATCACATTGAGGGAGAGGTTGTTATCCTGGCACCACACGGCCAGGTCTCTGACCTCCTCCCTATAGGCTGTCTCATCGTTGTCGGTGATCAGGCATACCACTGTTGTGTCATCGGCTACTGTTGTTAGATCCACCACACTACACCATACAGGCTACTGCTGTTAGATCCACACTACCCCAGACAGCTCTGCTGTTAGATCCACAATACCAACGTTGTTGTCTAGATCCACCAATACCAGACAGGCTATGCTGTTAATCCCACACTACACCATAGGTACTGCTGTTAGATCCCCCACTAGACAGTCTAGCTCTGCTGTTAGATCACATACCACTTATTACATGGCTCTGCTGTTAGATCCACCACACTACACCAGACAGGCTACTGCTGTTAGATCCACCACACTACACCATACAGGCTACTGCTGTTAGATCCACCACACTACACCAAACAGGCTACTGCTGTTAGATCCACCACAATACACCAAACAGGCAATTGCTGTTAGATCCACCACACTACACCAAACAGGCTACTGCTGTTAGATCCACCACAATACACCATACAGGCATTAGCTGCTATGAGACGTCCATGAATCAGCAGCCCCAAACCTGCTCAGCTGCAGGTCCCGACAGAGATCATTGCTGGGCGGTCAGCCTTTTTTCATGCTGCGGTTCAAGTTAAGTAGCCTACCTCTACTCTCCCAGTTGGGTGTATGTGTGGTCTCAATGAAATAGAGTAGGCTGCCAATGCATTGGCGGAGAATCATTTGGCAGTTATCTTTCCAATGAAATTAAATTAAATATGATTAGACTATAGTTTACTACAGTGTCTTTAAATAAATATTGTTAATGGAAAGAAGTGGAGGGCGCTCAACCAACGTGAGTTGAGGTGCAATCCATTTTTTTAAATCATAATTGAAAAGGAAAAGGTGCAACGCCGGCATAGGCTACCCAGGGAGATCGTTCAAGATTGACATCGAAATTGGACGTCTATCCATGTCCTGAGGACGTCGGGAAATGCCTTCAAAACCGACCACTAGGGGCAACAGTAAGCGCTATTACATCAAGTAGGCTTGGGTTTTGTTAGGGGGTGGCGTATGGGCATAATACCCATGAGTCTGGATCAAAAGCTTTTGTGTTCAATCCCAGTTGTGGACACTGGTTTTACATTTTTGGTTTTAACCCTAACCCTAACCCGTACTTAAACATTCAGAATGAGTCCCTACCTTAACCTTACCTTACCCATTCAGATGGTCCCTATCCTAACCCTTACTTTCTTTAAACCTTCAGAAAATGAGTCCCTAACCTTAAACCTTGACCTTACCATTCAGATGAACCCTAACCTTAACCTTACATAAACCATTCAGAAATGAGTCCCTAACTTAACCCTTCCTTAACAATCAGAATGAGTCCCTAACCTAACCCTTACCTTAACCATTCAGAAGAGTCCCTAACCTTAACCCTTACCTTAACCATCAGAATGAGTCCCATCCTTACCCTACCTTAAACATTCAGAATGAGTCCTAACTTAACCCTACCTTAAACCATTCAGAAGGAGTGCCAACTAACCCTTACTCTTAACCATCAAATGAGCCCACCTTAACCTTACACTTAACCATTCAGAATGAGTGCTCACCTAACCTTACCTTAACCATTCAGAATGAGTCCCTATCACCTTAACCCTTACCTTAACCATTCAGAATGAATCCCTAACCTTAACCTTTACCTTAACCATTCAGAATGAGTCCCTAACCTTAACCCTTACCTTAACCATTCAGAATGAGTCCCTAACCTTAACCCTTACCTTAACCATTCAGAATGAGTCCCTATCCTTAACCCTTACCTTAACAATTCAGAATGAGTCCCTAACCTTTAACCCTTACCTTAACCATTCAGAATGAGTGCCTAACCTTAACCCTTACGTTAACCATTCACAATGAGTCCCTAACCTTAACCCTTACCTTAACCATTCAGAATGAGTGCCTAACCTTAACCCTTACCTTAACCATTCAGAATGAGTCCCTATCCTTAACCCTTACCTTAACCATTCAGAATGAGTCCCTAACCTTAACCCTTACCTTAACCATTCAGAATGAGTCCCTAACCTTAACCCTTACCTTAACCATTCAGAATGAGTCCCTATCCTTAACCCTTACCTTAACCATTCAGAATGAGTCCCTAACCTTAACCCTTACCTTAACCATTCAGAATGAGTCCCTATCCTTAACCCTTACTTTAACCATTCAGAATGAGTCCCTAACCTTAACCCTTACCTTAACCATTCAGAATGAATCCCTATCCATAACCCTTACCTTAACCATTCAGAATGAGTCCCTAACCTTAAGCCTTCCCTTAACCATTCAGAATGTGTCCCTAACATTAACCCTTAAGTTCTAAATTTGACATTTGGAGAAATGGAACGATACAGAGCAGCAGGAGGAACAAAAACACTTCTAAACTTGACCTTTGGAGAACGTGGATGAATGTCTAACATGCTGACCACACCACCCGTGTCGCGTGCGCGAGCGTTGCAAAATATATTTACACATACATGTTTTTCAATCATTGCACCCACACTGCTCGCGCGCGTCAACGAGCGTCTGCATAGCCAGGCGTTAAAATAGATCTTGGTTCTATTTGTGACGCTTGATGCGCTGGAAGTCCCATCTCTCCCATCTCCTCATTGGTTTTTAGGAGCATATACACACGTGGGTGATTGAAAGATGAACTGAGGTCCACACTCCAGTCCAGTTGGTGGTGGTATTGCACCTTAAAGTTGGTTGCCAACCGCCATATAAAGTCCAAAGAAGAAGAAGCCTGAAGGAGTAGAGATTACTAGAAACGAACTCGGTTTACCCTTTTATCTGTGAATTAATTGTCGGAGTAGAGGACCTTGTGTATTTCAGGTAAAATAACAACCCAATGTTTATATCCCAGGACAAATTAGCTAGCAACAGCAAGCTAGCTAGCTAAATTGCCATAAATGTTTAATGCTTTTCGACCTGTCCCCAAATTAATATAGTTGGTTCAGAGTTCGTTTTGATATTTCAACCTGCGTGTCTTGATCGCGTCTGGTGTTGGTGGACAAAATCAACATGCGCGCGATGGCACTCGTAACTGCAGTGAGACTGTGAGAGCTTGTTAGCATGTGGTCTCAATGAAATAGAGTAGGCTATAGCCTATGCATGGGCGGAAAAGCACGGGGCACTTATCTTTCCAAGGAAATGTGCTTCCTAAATATGATTAGGCTATAGTTTACTACATTGCTTAGAAAAAATATTGATCAGCCATATTTGTCTTTGTCTGAAAATCGTCCCACTCCTAAAACATAGCTCAAGAGAAAGTCTCTCCAACTCTGCTCTCTTCAAACTACGTCTAGCCTATTGGCTGATATAGCCCGGTAATACCGATAGCCTAATATAATGGGCCACGTGAGAATCTCTGGTAATTTAACCTATTTCTTCGGTTATTTTTGTGCATTTTTATATTGCCTATAGGGCGCAAAATTGCTGGGACCATGACTGGCAAGTGAGCTGTGTCACATACCCCTAAAATAACATTGCAGGACTGCGGTTGGGTTCGGGACCAGTTCTTGCGGTAGCAGGTGGAAGTCAGACAGAAAGCAAGAGGGTTTGGGCAGGTGCGATATATGAAAAGTTGTGTCTGCGGGTGGGAGCGGGATGAATAAATCAGTGCTGTGCAGACCTCGAGCCCTAGCCCTGCTACAGTTATACCTCATCAATCTGCATTTGGGACAGGTCAATTCCACTGTAGCAGAGTGATGATGAGACTAAGATGTTTCACATTAAAAAGTGAAATGATTACAAAGTTAAACAAACAATACAACTCTATGCACAATGACTACTTTTTTCAATTTCCACTGCAAATTTTACAAAAACACATTTCCTTGAAGAACAGTGCAGATGCAAAGATGGGTAACAGAATGACAGTTTGTGCTGTTTGTGCCATCCTTCTGTTACCAAACTTTGCATCTGCACTGCTTTAAAAAAATGAATGTTTAATACATTTTAAAGTGAAATATCGGAGTCTCAGCATTATTATCATGGAATTGCCCAACACTTCAACTGAGATTCATGAAACATGGCTAGCTATGAATTCTGTAGACACAACCCCATTAAGGCATTGACAGCAACTGTAACCTAGAACCACATGTCTAGCCGTGATGCTGATTTTCATTCACCATCGATCTCTGATCTTAAAGTCAGTATATATGTGGACCACAGGAAGAGTAGCTGCTGCTATTGCAACACTAAGGCCACTGGCTTCTATGATGGTATCATTTTATTTAGACATTGAAAGGCACAATTTAATAGGCTGAGCTGAGCTGGGCTCAGAGAATATCTGAGAAAGAGAGGATTTTGACAGGTCTAGATAAACACATTCCCATGGGAGCTGAGAAAACTATAGTCCTGTACTGTATACCTCATCCTTGGCTCAAGCATTTAGGAGATTGAATGGTTCTCTAGCTGTTAGTCCTTCAGTCTAGCCAAATGCTGTATTTAACCTATGTATCCATATTCATCAGACTGCAGACTGTGCTTAACTTCACGTGCTGTACAACCTTGTCCTTGAGAAAAAAAAATGCATCTAAAAGATTAAAAAGCTATAACAAAACAAGAGCACAGGCAGCATTACAAAGTACTTTACTGACTTCACTATGAATCAACTGAGCCAGCCAGTGCATTCTGACACAGATGCACCAGAGACAGTTAGTTCTAACTCTTCTCTCTGGTGGTTCTGAAACACATCCCCCCCCCCCCCCCCCCCCCACTCCTCTCTCCCCTCCTCTCCTTTCCTCTCCGTTGTCCCCAAACCCCTCATAAACCCATTAGAAGCTCTTCCCATTGGAAGTCCCCATCAGCAAAACACACACTCACACACACACTGTGCTGTGCACACACACACAAAGCGACACATTACAACTACACTGCACACACACGCTCACACACACGCTCACACACACACACTACTCACAGAGCCTGATTTCCCCAATCTCTCTCCTGTCCAAATTATGTGCTGCTGCTGCTCAATTCCACAGAGTCCCAATTTATCTGCCTTCAACAGCAATTAGGGGGCTTCCACATGGGTGGAGGGGGACTGTATGGCTCAGTTGGTATAGCATGGTGCTTGCATCACCAGGATTATGGGTTCAATTCCTGGGGCCACCCATACGTAAAATGTATGCACGCACGACTGGATAAAAGCGTCTGTTAAATGGCATTCAGTATATTATTATATTCTATACTACTGGGAGTCAGAGACTAACCTCACTCTTACCTTCCCCCGTTCATGTGCTCTTCTGTCGTCCCCTAACCAACCCCTGAAGTCCTTTGTAGTGTTCATTAGGAGTGTGTTTAGTCCAGCACGTTGCTTTTATATAATCATCTTTTCTTCTGTCAATAATAGCAGCACGGAATGGGATGGTGACAGAGGATATGTTTCCTCTGACAGCTGCTAGTTAGGGAAGAAGACCTGTGGATTGCTGGAGTAGGGGGTCAGGGATGGGCATTTTAACTGAGCCCAGCATGGAGCCTTGTGGTACACCACAGGTGGTTAACAAAGGTGATGGTTGATCAAACTGTCAGTCGATGAGTCCTTCAAGGCCCTGTGTTTTCCTGATCACTACAGTGATAATGTACGGTGTTGAAGGATACAAGTAGAGAATTGAATTAATTATGTAGCCTTTCTCCCTTCGTGGTGACTGAAGAATGGTGATTTTCGGTACAGGTGTCAACAAATTGTCTGCACATTGCAATGCCTACCCATTGAGTATATACCTTCTAGTTGTTATGGACTGTGCACCATCCTGCACAACCCCTTTACACAGCACATTTTGAAATCATTATTTTGGACAAATTCATTTGCGGAGAAATAAGACGTGTTTTCACACAATAAAGTGAGGTATCCAAACAAGTTGAGAAGGGAGATGTTTACTCATAAAGGACAAAGATACACCCAGCAAGGAGATATTTGGGGCCAATTTCCTTTCTTTCCCTGACAGCACTGTTTGTTGACAGGCAACTTCCTCTGGCCAGCAGCAGATTTTTTTTCTGTTTGTAAATAAACACAAACCGTTTTTTGGGGAAATCAAATGTCAGTTGGGGAGTGTTGCCTGGCGATGACCCCCCCCCCCCACCAGCAGTGGGAGCCATGGAAATGGCTGTGCGTGTGACGGATGTGGCTTGTAATACACCTGGCACACACAACCTGCTCAGGCTGCCTGACGGTAACTAAGAGAGATGGCAGGCTGTTTAAAATGTCCCCAAACCCCAGGCGGTTAGACTGTCACTATGCGTTTGATAGGGACATGCAATATCACGGTGACCTATAAATGCAACTGATCAGGGAGGGAAGGAGGGACGAAGAGGAATGAGAGGGAATCGTGCCCGGCTTAAACTGTGCAGTCACTGAAAATATTTGATACTTACCGAGCACTCAGAGGATTGTACAGGAGTGGAATGTGTTTAATGTATAAATGTATCCATTAAAGTGTTTGTCAGCAGAACGTACAGTACAAGGCAAATTGGAGGTCATTATTACTAAGCATTGACAAAAGTAGCTCTGGGGTTATCTGTTTAGCACAACATTTCCTATGTAAGCAGAGGTACGATTTGTCCCTCGTCATTTAGCTAAATGTGCATTCTGCAGAATGTGGACAAACATACAAATACAGAAATATTCGACCTTTTTATATAGTCACAATAATATCATGTTCATGAGAACTATATTGGACACGTATAGTATACAGCACAGAGAAGACACAGACAAGCATGCCTGATGACTTCTGCAGATGCACATCAGAGCCACAGATTCCACAGATCCAACCTTGGAAGGCAAAGCACCCCACGGTCCCTAATTGTCATGCAAAGGTAGTTCCGTTGGTAAGCAGCACATTGGCGTGCAACAATATTATCTCTGCAGTGGGTCTAGCCTGCCGATTCCTCTTACCCTGTTATCAAATTAGTCAGCTGGACGTCAAACACTCACCAAGCTATAGCCGCTCATTTAATTACATTCCCCACCAGCACCTGTTTCCAGCTAATGCCTCTCAGGCATACAGAGAACACCGCTCAAACTTGTCCTCCTCTTTAAAACCATACAGGGAAGGATGGGTTTTTCTGCTTTTTTTCTTACACTGACAAATGGGAGTTTCGTTTTCCTTAAGGCCCAACAAACCTCTGCTGTGCTTTCTCCTAAGCCAGACTCAGATCTATTTGAGTAGATAAAACTAATCAATTTTACAAGATCTACCATTGTGTGAAAATGGCTCAGAGGCAAATACTTCCTTCATATATTTTCGATAAAACATCACACAGATACAGTAGCGGGGAGGGAGTCTACTGTTAAGTCCGCCGGTATCAAGAGGCGGCTCATTCTTCTGCCTCTCATAGAGAACATTCTGTAACGATTCCAAATGCTCTAGCGTTCTCAAGAGTGCCTACATTTAATCAGAACAATCTCAGTGGGGAAGGGGAATCAATTAATCATTATGTAACAGCCATATTCCATTCCCTTTATAGACCCATATAATATCAGAGACTTTCAAACTGGTCTATCAGAATGTCAGTAACAGTGCATCTGCATAGCTGCTGGACATAGAACTGTTATGTTCACATAACTGCAATGAAATGTGCCGTAGCAAAACTATACTCTTCCACTCACAGTTGTTGTTATGAATACAAAAGACGGCATCATGTCGGGGACAGTGACACAAAAAGGATCCCATCATTGTCAAAGCATGACTGGACTACTCTCTTCTATACAGTATGTCTACCATCTGAATACAGGTAATATCCTCATGTTCATACCTGTTAAGGGTCAGGTGTGTTTCCTTTTAACCTTGTCTTACCTGGCATGGACCAGGTCCCCACACAGCACCATGAACTTGGGCCGGCAGCACAGCTTGTTGACGGCCTCCACAGCCTGCTGGGTCAGCTGGACCTCTTCGGCCCACTCGTCCCCTCCCCGTCACGGTCCCCCTCCCTCCAGGCCTTCATCAGAGCAAGCTGGGGGTCTGCAGCCTGGATGAAGCAGAATGGAACTCTCCATTCCTTCTGCTCTTCTGGGAAGGTAGGAGAAGAGGAGAACAGGGGAGAGAGTCATGCCAGAGACATTGGATAAAAGATACACTCAACATACGTTGTTTGACACCCAATCTCTCCTCTGTTCATGAAAGTAATGCCGGAGTGATAGTCCTAATAGCAGTATTCTTCCAAAATGGTCCTGTAGACCCACAGGGGATTTTGTTCTAGCCCTTACTAGTCAATTAATCATCAAGCCCTTGAATCATTTAATCTGGTATGTTAGTACTGTCTGTAACAAACAGCCTACACACCCTGTGGGTGGGTCCAGGACCAGCACTGGAGAAGAATACTGATGTAACAGTTATTATCATAGTCGTGTTTCCTCTCTCAATAAAGAAAAAGGTAAATTAATTAGGCCTAACAGAACTATGGATATTGATGCGTGCATGGCAAAGTGTTTTAAATAATCTGGACATTACATAACGGGATCCATAACCTACAATAATCTCTCTCAAATATTCAGAAAAAAAGGCATTTGCTTTTCACAGAGATAGGCAGGCATGCTGCGCCGCCAGTGAGTAGCAGTCGGGAGTACCTAAGACGGATCTAACATCGTTTTTAATGGATTGCCCTTATTGCATGAAAATGGCCAGCAGAAACAGACATCCGCTGTCTGTACAATGTGTTAAGAGGAAAGAAAAACAAATGATCTCTCTAGTCTGGTAAGCATTACTCATTCTGTTCTAGAACTCAAAAAGCTATACGCTGGGTATACATACATAGGACTACACACACACACACACACATACACACACACACACACACACACACAGTACAGTACACAGTGCCTTGCAAAAGTATTCATCCCCCTTGGCGTTTTTCCTATTTTGTTGCATTACAACCTGTAATTTAAATTGATTTTTATTTGGATTTCATGTAATGGACATACACAAAATAGTCCAAATTGGTGAATTTAAATGAAAAAAAATAACTTGTTTAAAATAAATAATAAATAATGGAAATGTGCCACGTGCATACAGTGGGGAAAAAAAGTATTTAGTCAGCCACCAATTGTGCAAGTTCTCCCACTTAAAAAGATGAGAGAGGCCTGTAATTTTCATCATAGGTACACGTCAACTATGACAGACAAATTGAGGAAAAAAAATCCAGAAAATCACATTGTAGGATTTTTAATGAATTTATTTGCAAATTATGGTGGAAAATAAGTATTTGGTCACCTACAAACAAGCAAGATTTCTGGCTCTCACAGACCTGTAACTTCTTCTTTAAGAGGCTCCTCTGTCCTCCACTCGTTACCTGTATTAATGGCACTTGTTTGAACTTGTTATCAGTATAAAAGACACCTGTCCACAACCTCAAACAGTCACACTCCAAACTCCACTATGGCCAAGACCAAAGAGCTGTCAAAGGACACCAGAAACAAAATTGTAGACCTGCACCAGGCTGGGAAGACTGAATCTGCAATAGGTAAGCAGCTTGGTTTGAAGAAATCAACTGTGGGAGCAATTATTTGGAAATGGAAGACATACAAGACCACTGATAATCTCCCTCGATCTGGGGCTCCACGCAAGATCTCACCCCGTGGGGTCAAAATGATCACAATCAAAAATCCCAGAACCACACGGGGGGACCTAGTGAATGACCTGCAGAGAGCTGGGACCAAAGTAACAAAGCCTACCATCAGTAACACACTACGCCGCCAGGGACTCAAATCCTGCAGTGCCAGACGTGTCCCCCTGCTTAAGCCAGTACATGTCCAGGCCCGTCTGAAGTTTGCTAGAGTGCATTTGGATGATCCAGAAGAGGATTGGGAGAATGTCATATGGTCAGATGAAACCAAAATATAACTTTTTGGTAAAAACTCAACTCGTCGTGTTTGGAGGACAAAGAATGCTGAGTTGCATCCAAAGAACACCATACCTACTGTGAAGCATGGGGGTGGAAACATCATGCTTTGGGGCTGTTTTTCTGCAAAGGGACCAGGACAACTGATCCGTGTAAAGGAAAGAATGAATGGGGCCATGTATTGTGAGATTTTGAGTGAAAACCTCCTTCCATCAGCAAGGGCATTGAAGATTAAATGTGGCTGGGTCTTTCAGCATGACAATGATCCCAAACACACCGCCCGGGCAACGAAGGAGTGGCTTTGTAAGAAGCATTTCAAGGTCCTGGAGTGGCCTAGCCAGTCTCCAGATCTCAACCCCATAGAAAATCTTTGGAGGGAGTTGAAAGTCCGTGTTGCCCAGCGACAGCCCCAAAACATCACTGCTCTAGAGGAGATCTGCATTTAGGAATGGGCCAAAATACCAGCAACAGTGTGTGAAAACCTTGTGAAGACTTACAGAAAACGTTTGACCTGTGTCATTGCCAACAAAGGGTATATAACAAAGTACTGAGCAACTTTTGTTATTGACCAAATACGTATTTTCCACCATAATTTGCAAATAAATTCATTAAAAGTCCTACAATGTGATTTTCTGGATTGTTTTTCCTCATTTTGTCTGTCATAGTTGACGTGTACCTATGATGAAAATTACAGGCCTCTCTCATCTTTTTAAGTGGGAGAACTTGCACAATTGGTGGCTGACTAAATACTTTTTTTCCCCACTGTATGTATTCACCCCCTTTGCTATGAAGCCCCTAAATAAGATCTGGTGCAACCAATTACCTTCAGAAGTCACATAATTAATTAAATATAGTCCACCTGTGTGCAATCTAAGTGTCACATGATCTGTCACATGATATGTCAGTATATATACACCTGTTCTGAAAGGCCCCAGAGTCAGCAACACCACTAAGCAAGGGGCACTACCAAGCAAGCGGCACCATGAAGACCAAGGAGCTCTCCAAACAGGTCAGGGACAAAGTTGTGGAGAAGTACAGATCAGGGTTGGGTTATAAAAAAATATCAGAAACTTTGAACATCCCATGGAGCACCATTATATCCATTATTAAAAAATGGAAAGAATATGGCACCACAACAAACCTGCCAAGAGAGGGCCGCCCACCAAAACTCACGGACCAGGCAAGGAGGGCATTAATCAGAGGCAATAAAGAGACCAAAGATAACCCTGAAGGAGCTGCAAAGCTCCACAGCGGAGATTGGAGTATCTGTCCATATGACCACTTTAAGCCGTACACTACACAGAGCTGGGCTTTACGGAAGAGTGGCCAGAAAAAAGCCATTGCTTAAAGAAAAATAAGCAAACACGTTTGGTGTTCGCCAAAAGCCATGTGGGAGACTCCCCAAACATATGGAAGAAGGTACTCTGGTCGGATGAGACTAAAATTGAGCTTTTTGGCCATCAAGGAAAACGCTATGTCTGGCGCAAACCCAACACCTCTCATCACCCCAAGAACACCATCCATGGTGGTGGCAGCATCATGCTGTGGGGATGTTTTTCATCGGCAGGGACTGGGAAACTGGTCAGAATGGAAGGAATGATGGATGGTGCTAAATACAGGGGAAAAACCTGTTTCATTCTTCCAGAGATTTGAGACTGGGACGGAGGTTTACCTTCTAGTAGGACAATGACCCTAAGCATACTCGAGTGGTTTAAGGGGGAACATTTAAATGTCTTGGAATGGCCTAGTCAAACCCCAGACCTCAATCCAATTGAGAATCTGTGGTATGACTTAAAGATTGCTGTACACCAGCGGAACCCATCCAACTTGAAGGAGCTGGAGCAGTTTTGCCTTGAAGAATGGGCATAATCCCAGTGGCTAGATGTGCCAAGCTTATAGAGACATACCCCAAGAGACTTGCAGCTGTAATTTATGCAAAAGGTGGCTCTACAAATAATTGACTTTGGGGGGGGTGAATAGCTATGCACGCTCAAGTTCAGTTTTTTTGTCTTATTTGTTTGTTTCACAAGAAAACATATTTTGCATCTTCAAAGTGGTAGGCATGTTGTGTAAATCAAATGATACAAACCCCCAAAAAGTCCATTTTAATTCCAGGTTGTAAGGCAACAAAATAGGAAAAATGCCAAGGGGGATGAATACTTTCTCAAGCCACTGTACACTTTCTCTCTCTCACACACACACACACACACACACACACACACACACACACACACACACACACACACACACACACACACACACACTACCGTACACAGCAGGACTTCCTTGCACATCAGAATCTTCAACATTTAACATGCATCTCTCTACCAAATGAGCTTATGATAATTATTTTCTCCAGAGAATCATGGGCAGCAAATGAAAGACTGAGAATCTCAGAACTCGGAACAGAAAAAGAGCTTTGTCTTTGGTCTTTGTATCTTCGTTTAGGAAGTAATGGGGAACATTCCCTGCTTCTATGGTTAACAGTAAGGGCAATTACGCCACTTTTTTACCTCATATTCGTTATCTCCAGCACCATACCAGTGTCTACATATGCGAAAACAGCACATTTCTATTATCTGTTGTTTAAAAGATAAGAAGAAAGGTCCTAAAAAATGCTTCTCTGTGACATCAGGGGGTAGAATTAAAAGTAAGGAAAACTGTGATTTTTAAAACCTGCAACAAGTTTCTAGCCAGAGGGAGGGTATTTCCTTGCTCCCCAAGTCACCACGGATTTCATAGTGTTTGAAAATCACTATTTTTAATGTATATTTTTTCTGCAAAAAGTATAAATATACCGTTTTCATATATATATATAGACACTGGTATTGTGCTGGAGATAATGAAAATGAAGTTGAAAAGCGTTGGAATTGCCCTAAAACATCAGATTTATTAAACACAACACTAACTTACTTCATGACTATAAAGTCACGTTACCTCTATCTACGTGTACATATTACCTCGACTAACCTGTGCCCCTGCACATTGACTCTGTACCGGTACCCACTGTATATAGCCTCGTCACTGTTATTTTATTGTTGCTCTTTAATTATTTGTTATTTTTCTATTTTATTCTTTACTTCAGTTTATTTAGTAAATACTTTCTTAACACTTATTTTTTCTTAAAACTGCATTGTTGGTTAAGGGCTTGTAAGTAAGCATTTCACTGTAAGGTCTACTGTCAAAGGCGTCAGTGAAATGCGGTGGGCGAAGTCAAACGCAGGACACAGAGCTGATCCGAAAACGTACTTTACTAGAAAGTAAACTGAGAATACACAATCTCCACACAGGGAGGAAATAACCTGCACACTAACGACTGCCGATCACGAATACAATCACACACAACACACAGTGTAAGACAGAGGGTTAAATAGGGAAGACAATACAACATAATGGGAAACAGGTGTACACAATCAAGACAGAACAAGTCGAACACAGAAACATAGATCGGTAGCAGCTAGTACTCCGGTGACGACGAACGCCGAAGCCTGCCCGAGCAAGGAGGAGGGGCAGCCTCGGCTGAATCAGTGACATCTACACCTGTTGTATTCAGCGCATGTGACAAATAAAATGTGATTTGATTTAAATGCACAATCATGGCATGGGAAATAGCAGGGTATTTGGAGGGATCAAGGTTATGGCAAATACTAACTTATTTTGACACTACAAGTGTATGTTCATATAATTATCACTGAAGACAAGATGTTGCTTGAGTACTTTCATAGGTTGAAAACTTCCCTGAACTTTTACAATTCAGCAAAATCCTTATGCTGCTAAAGTTTATGCTGCAATATAATGGAATATCCTGCATCAGCATATGGGACATAGTTCACTGATCTCTCCAGCACCAATTGGATACATGGGTTTCCTCCCATCCCTAGATATATAACAGGCTAAGCCCTCTCTTTTTTACTGCCTCATATGAGACAGACACATGATTTGTACGGCTTTCATACTAGCCTAGCCTGGTACCTTTTAACACTAAACAAACTTTACAGTAGTTTGCGTCTCAGGAGTCGCTGCTGTGTGAATTATTTTTGAGGTAACTTTAAAAAACTTGAATATTTTTTTAAACAAGGAGACAAAACTCCCATGACAGCCGATAAGTACACGCAACTTTGTGCAGATGCGCTGAGCGAGCGTCACTTCAAACATAAATCGGAGAGATTTCTCAGGTGGCAGATGGTACGTTCAAACAATACTAATCATAATTCAAGATGAAAGCGCTGAGGGCCTTTTTAATAATAAATAATAATGATATATGGAACTTATGTGAAATTCCCACTTGATTAGAAAAATCTATTCATTTCACCATCAGTTTGTGGTGCTGAAAAACTAACAAGGTTTGTAGAGATGTGATTGTGCAATCAGCAAGGCTGTCAGAGGAAGAGACTGTATGCAAATCTGACTAGTCTGAACACTCAAATGCCTCAGTCTGTAAGCTTGTCCAGAAAGGGCCCATTCTGCCCAGTCCGTTCACTTGTCAAAGGTCAAATGTCTAAGTAGATAGGGTCTTCACTGGTTACCACAGCTACAAAGTCATAATTATGGCTAAACCTAACCTTAACCACACTGCTAACCTTATGCCTAACCTTAAATTAATACCAAAAAGCAATTTTTTGTTTTCACACATGTTTATGATATAGCCGATATACACTGAACAAAAATATAAACGCAACATGTGAAGTGTTGGTCCCATGTTTCATGAGCTGAAAAAAAGGATCCCAGAAATGTTTCATATACACAAAAAGCTTATTTCTCTCAAATCAAATTTTGTGCTCAAATTTGTTTACATCCCTGTTAGTGAGTATTTCCCCTTTGCCAAGGTAATCCATCCACCTGACAGGTGTGGCATATCAAAGAAGCTGATTAAGCAGCATGATCATTACACAGGTGCACCTTGTGCTAGGGACAATAAAAGGGCACTCTAATGTGCAGTTTCGTCACACAACACAATGCCACAGATGTCTCAAGTTTTGAGGGAGTGTGCAATTGGCATGCTGACTGCAGGAATGTCTACCAGAGCAGTTGCCAGAGAATTGAATGTTCATTTCTCTACCAACGTCGATTTAGAGAATTTGGCAGTATGTCCAACCGGCCTCACAACCGCAGACCTCGTGTATGGCGTCTTGTGGGCGAGCGGTTTGCTGATGTCAACGTTTTGAACAGAGTGCCCCATGGTGGCGGTGGGGTTATGGTATGGGCAGGCATAAGCTACGGACAACGAACACAATCGCATTTTATCGATGGCAATTTGAATGCACAGAGATACCGTGACGAGAACCTGAGGCCCATTGTCGTGCCATTCATCCGCCGCCATCCCCTCATGTTTCAGCATGATAATGCACGGCCCCATGTCGCAAGGATCTGTACACAATTCCTGGAAGCTGAAAATTTTCCAGTTTTTCCATGGCCTGCATACTCACTAGACATGTCACCTATTGAGAGTGTTTGGGATGCTCTGGGTCAACTTGTTCGACAGCGTATTCCAGTTCCCGCCAATATCCAGCAACTTTGCACAGCCATTGAAGAGGAGTGGGATAACATTCCAGGCCACAATCAACTGCCTGATCAACTCTATGCGAAGGAGATGTGTCGTGCTGCATGAGACAAATGGTGGTCACACCAGATACTGCTTTTCTGATCCACCCCCCTACCTTTTTTTAAAGGTATCTGTGACCAACCGATGCATATCTGTATTCCCAATCATGTGAAATCCATAGATTAGGGCCCAATGAATTTATTTCAACGAACAGATTTCCTTATATGAACTGTAACTCAGTAAAATCTTTGAAATTGTTCCATGTTGCGTTTTGCATCGGCTGAAAGTTGACTGCATTCAATTTGGAACCGGGCTGCCTCCAGGGCGTGAGCCAGGTGCTCGCTATGTCCGAAGGTGACGTCGGCTCAAAACAAGTGACTTAATTAAGTCCTCTGTAGCTCAGCTGGTAGAGCACGGTGCTTGTAACGCCAAGGTAGTGGGTTCGATCCCCGGGACCACCCATACACCAACCCAAAAAAAATTATGCACGCATGACTGTAAGTCGCTTTGGATAAAAGCGTCTGCTAAATGGCTATTATTATTATTATTAAGCACATGTTGTAATTAGTAGAATTTTGTGTTTTTCCATGAACAAGTGATTGCTTTTGATAATAAAACGTTTATCTGCCTTCCCAATGAAAACTAGTTTGAAAATTCAAACATTTATTTGATAGAAAAGAGGAGATGTATATTTCTGGACAATGCACCATGCTGCGTTATTGACAACATGACCGAGCCCTGCAGATTACTGTTCGATTTGACGGGTGCTCCTCGTTCCCCGCTTTCACCCGATGTACGTGACAGGCCATTGCCCGGTTCAACCCAGGCCAGCGTAAAATAACTCCCTCCCTGACTGACTTCCTTTCACACCATGACCAACCAATCCTAAAATAGGCCTATTTAAAGCCAAAATCCTTAGTTGCTACGTCCATTTTTGTACTTATAAATTAATGATATATACCCATTGATTCTTGAAGAATATAACATAAATGCCTCATACGCTTAGTTCAACTGTCCTACCCCATCAGAACCCAACATGTAAGGTTATTTTTCTTTAATGTTTCTTAACGGAAATTTAAACAAACACTGTATAGCCTCAAAACATGTTTAAAACTAGTTTATACATTTGATATCTGTGATGCGTGATTTGAAGGAGTCAGGCGCAGGAGGGTAAATCACAGTATACAGAGTTTATTCTGTAATCCATCGTAACCAGTCCAGTGCGCAAAACAGGCGCACTGGAACAAACATGCACACGGGGAAAATACCCTGGCAATACAAAATACTGAGCTCAACCGAGCTCCTAATCCTCACAAAGAACAATCACCCACAAGGACAAGGTGGCAGAGGGAACACATACTAATGAGGGGAATATGAAACAGGTGTGTGTAATTGACAAGACAAGACAAATGGAATGATGAGATATGGAGCGGCAGTGACTAGAAGGCCGGTGACGACGAACGCCGAAGCCTGCCCGAACAAGGAGGGGAGGCAGCTTCGGAGGAAGTCGTGACAATATCATAGATGGTCATATCTCTGTCTATGAATTTGAGAGTGGTTACATTTCTCCAGCCCATCCCTTAGCCCATCCCAAAACAGGGGCGGGGATATTTTTTGTTATTGTTTCAATTAAGGATTCTAGCTTTAAAAAATATGATTTGAAGGTATTCATAACACCACATGTAATATGCCATTGGTTTTGGGAAGAGACCCGTTTTGGAGTTATGATAAGGTAGCTAAACAGCAATAATGCAACTCACATTTACAGCTATAGGCATTTGTAAATCATAATCTTCAAAATCAAGGGATACATTTCAGCAAAACAAAATTGCAAAACAGATGGATGTTAGCTAGCCTACTATATGGTCAGCTAGTTAGATTTAGCTAGCTACTTTCAGTCAGTCTTTTTACATTTACGTCATTTAGCAGACGCTCTTATCCAAAGCGACTTACAGTTAGTGAGTGCATACATTATTTTATTTTTCATACTGGCCCCCCGTGGGAATTGAACCCACAACCCTGGCGTTCCAAACACCATGCTCTACCAACTGAGCTACATCCCTGCTGGCCATTCCCTCCCCTACCCTGGACGACGCAGGGCCAATTATGCGCCACCCCATGGGTCTCCCAGTCACGGCCGGCTACGACAGAGCTTGGATTCAAACCAGGATCTCTAGTGCCTTAGACCACTGCGCCACTCGGGAGGCCATCCTGATGTTGATCCTATTTTGTCAATGTACGGTGAGGGAACGGTGAACGGCCAAGTAGCATAATAACGATGTCCGAACCCCTGCCTAGTTCTACAATTTCTACAACAACCCCCGGCCTTGTTGCTGACGAAACTCAGAGGGAGACTTCCAGAGACTGACGATATACTTGTGACTTGAATTATGTAATTCATGTGAATTAATAAAAGGAGCATGAAATTCAAATTTGTGATTCAGCTGTAGACTCATCGCTTGTGTTGAATCGACTACATCAGCTATCTATTACATTTGCCTGGCTGCATAACTTTTCTGTAGCAGCCCGTGTGGCTGACTGACTGCATCTGGGAGCTGTATCTTGACTTTCTCCGTATATATATACAGTATATATTTAAGCAATAAGGCCTGAGGGGGTGTGGTATATGGCCAATATACCCCGGCTAGAGCTGTTATTTCGCACGACGCAATGCGGAGTGCCTGGACACAGTCCTCAGCTGTAGTATATTGGCCATATATCGCAAACCCCCGAGGTGCCTTATTGCTATTATAAACTGGTTACCAACGTAATTAGAGCAGTAAAAATAAATGTTTTGTCATACCTGTAGTATGGTCTGATATACCACGGCTGTCACCCAATCAGCATTCAGGGCTCGAACCACCCAGTTTAAATATAAATAAATATATATACAGTGAGGGAAAAAAGTATTTGATCCCCTGCTGATTTTGTACGTTTGCCCACTGACAAAGAAATGATCAGTCTATAATTTTAATGGTAGGTTTATTTGAACAGTGAGAGACAGAATAACAACAAAAAAATCCAGAAAAACGCATGTCAAAAATGTTATAAATTGATTTGCATTTTAATTAGGGAAATAAGTATTTGACCCCCTCTCAATCAGAAAGATTTCTGGCTCCCAGGTGTCTTTTATACAGGTAACGAGCTGAGATTAGGAGCACACTCTTAAAGGGAATGCTCCTAATCTCAGCTTGTTACCCGTATAAAAGACACCTGTCCACAGAAGCAATCAATAAATCAGATTCCAAACTCTCCACCATGGCCAAGACCAAAGAGCTCTCCAAGGATGTCAGGGACAAGATTGTAGACCTACACAAGGCTGGAATGGGCTACAATACCATCGCCAAGCAGCTTGGTGAGAAGGTGACAACATTTGGTGCAATTATTCGCAAATGGAAGATACACAAAATAACTGTCAATCTCCCTCGGCCTGGGGCTCCATGCAAGATCTCACCTCGTGGAGTTGCAATGATCATGAGAACGGTGAGGAATCAGCCCAGAACTACACGGGAGGATCTTGTCAATGATTTTAAGGCAGCTGGGACCATAGTCACCAAGAAAACAATTGGTAACACACTACGCCATGAAGGACTGAAATCCTGCAACGCCCGCAAGGTACCCTGCTCAAGAAAGCACATATACATGCCCGTCTGAAGTTTGCCACTTAACATCTGAATGATTCAGAGGAGAACTGGGTGAAAGTGTTATGGTCAGATGAGACCAAAATTGAGCTATTTGGCATCAACTCAACTCGCCGTGTTTGGAGGAGGAGGAATGCTGCCTATGACACATGGAGGTGGAACATTATGCTTTGGGGGTTTTTCTGCTAAGGGACAGGACACTTCACTGCATCAAAGGACGATGGACGGGCCATGTACCGTCAAATCTTGGGGGAACCTCCTTCCTCAGCCAGGGCATGAAAAGGTCGTGGATGGGTATTCCAGCTATGACAATGACCCAAAACACACGCCAGGGCAACAAGGAGTGGCTCAAGAAGAAGCACATTAAGGTCCTGGCGTGGCCTAGCAGTCTCAGACCTTAATCCCATAGGAAATCTGTGGAGAAGCTGAGTTCGAGTGACAACGTCAGGCTCGAAACCTTAATGATTGGGAGAAGTCTTCAAAGAGAGTGGACAAAATCCTCTTGAGATGTGTGCAACCTGGTGCCAACTACAAGAAACGTCTGACCTCTGTGATTGCCAACAGGGTTGTGCCACCAGTACTAAGTCATGTTTTGCAGAGGGGTCAAATACTTATTTCCCTCATTAAAATGCAAATACATTTATAAAATTTTTGACATGCGTTTTGGGGGATTTTTTTGTTGTTATTCTGTCTCTCACTGTTCAAATAAACCTACCATTAAAATTATAGACTGATCATTTCTTTGTCAGTGGGCAAACGTACAAAATCAGCAGGGGATCAAATACTTTTTTCCCCTCACCGTATATATACTGTATATATATCCCCATGGTTATCATCCACGAGAGCATGTATGAACTTCTGCTGAATAATACCATCTTCATCATAATTATAAACTACTGTAGCTCTGGCACTGGCACACGCTATTTGTCTCCCCCAGCTCTCTCGGTTTCTCCCATCATCTTATTTAGCCTTGTGTTGGGGAGTAGGCTATCAGGACCACAGACAGAGACTTGTTGAGCAAAATAATTTCAGCACTATGGACAGCTCGATGCCTCGAACAGAAAGACGCTAATTTGCGATAATATAGACATGGTTCTGCACAGTATTTTCTTTTAAGATGAGGTGAGCTTTTTGAACAGGTGAAAGGCAGTGAGTAGAATATGATAGCCTATGGGAAATATTAATTTTATACAAGGGAATTCATTCCTAAAGGAAAAATCCGCAGAACTCTATAAACTAATGTTTGTGAGGCATAACAAATATAATTTCGTGATGAATAGAGAAACGTCTCTGGGTATGATGTCACTGTGCATAGAAAGAGACGATTGTATGTGTGGACTCTTAGTCAGGCCAGTGTATAAAAGCATTACCCTACAGGTCGAGTTTAAAAATGAATACATTCTGTATGTGTAGCCTATGCTACTCAGGCTGGCAAAACAACCCCCCTATAACCCACTCTATAATTTCATTTGGAAGTTACCATAACGGAAATGTCTGCATCCGTTACCATATTTTGTCTGTGCGCAAATTATGAGAAGGAAAAAACTGAATTGCTAGGCAGCACAACTCGACCCACTGTCACAGACATGTTTAACAATACAGTGATCTCTCTTTCTTCTTCGGAATCCCTCCTTCCCTTCTCTCCTCCTCTCTTTTTGCGCACCGTGCTCTACCACCTCAGCTCTTATTCGCTCACTCGCGCTCAAAACATTTGTGCAGTTAGTTCTAGCTTCATCGACTCTTGTGCGTGAGAGCACGCTGATGGATGTGAGAAGTGAAGTAGCCTAGGTTAGATAACATCATGGAAATACTTTTATAACACTTGTAGAGAGATTGTGCACTGGGGAACAATTCTAAGGACAATATCCATATAAATGCAACGTTTTATTTGGGAAAAAATAACAACAAATGGTTCTCTATACCTTCATGGATGACGAGGACATTAGTGAAAACGCTCACCAACACGGATGGCAGTGTTCTGCAATGTGCATGTATGTTTTTGGACTTTTCATAATACCAAGACCTTAGGCTCTTCTTCTTCTTCGAGTGTCTTCTGAAATGCGCTAGAGGAGCTGAAAGGAAGGGGGAAAAGGACAGCACAATGAGGGGGAAATACTTTCTGCTCGGTTACTTGTTGGTCAAAGTTATGGCGCTGGTCTGCAAAGCAGACGGAGAAGCAGGACAACTGGAGGGCTTTGTCATGATGACGATGTCCAACGGATCCAAGGAGGACGAGGGCGCAGGCTTCTCGGAGCCCCCGCACACGGAGGACAGGTGCCGGGGGTACTATGATGTGATGGGTCAGTGGGACCCGCCGTTCGTTTGCAAAACGGGCGATTATCTGTACTGCTGCGGCACCTGTGGCTTTCGGTTCTGTTGCTCCTACAAGACCTCGCGGCTGGATCAGAGCACCTGTAAAAACTACGACACTCCGGTGTGGATGATGACAGGTCAAACCCCGTTTAAGAAAAACGACCTGCGGCACGACCCCACCAAAGATAAAACGAATTTAATCGTGTATATAATCTGTGGAGTAGTCGCTATCATGGCACTTGTTGGGATATTCACCAAACTCGGCCTGGAAAAGGCGCACCGACCCCAGAGAGAGAATATGACTAGGTGGGTTTCTGTGGTTATGCTGCTGTTGAGCGCGCCGCGAGCTCCTTTCATGCGCTTGTTTTCAAGGAGCTCGCTTGGTGCACACATGTAGGCTAGAGCGCGCGCCACAATAATATTTAACGCTTGAGTTCTAGACTCGGGCTTGCCAGCTTTATATTGGTAAACGACTCTAGGCTACCTTATTGTAATAGCCTTGTCCCTGAAAGTAGGAAGCGAGGATCCAATCTAAATGTGGTTCTTGTTTAAAATTATAATAAGAAATCCCCCAATCAATTACTTTTAAGCGCACAATAAAGGCCTCTTCAATGGACAGAAAGTAGCTGTCAGCGACAGTTTATCAATTGGACTAGATTGCATAATGTCATCAGACACTTGTCCACGATGGCTCACCTGTGTGGGCTGCTTGCCTGCTTCACTCGCAGAGAGCACGGGGGCGTGTGTCTCTTGCAGTGGAGAGCGAGGCCACAATGCTCTCCACATGCGCATGTTAACTCAAATTAACTTATTCATATGAAAATGTTAAATGTTGTTTTCTCTTGAACTCCATGCCCTGTGCACACAACTGTGCACAGCCTGGTCTAATAGACTAGACATATCATAGTAAAGGTAAATCCGAGACACTAAAATGTGTATGATATGTTATGTTTGGTATGGTTACATAAGACAGATGGTTAAGTGGCTGGTCTGGGTGGTCTAGCGTTTTCGAATCTCATCATGGACAACTTTAGCATTTTAGCTAATTAGGAACTTTTCAACTACTTACTTATTTTTTCCTAATTTGCAACTACTTAGCATGTTAGCTAACCCTTCTCCTAACCCTAACCATAACCCTTTAAGCTAACCCTAACCTTAAACCTTTTAGCTAACCCTTTAACCTAACTCCTAAACTTAACCTTAACCCTAACCCTAACCCTAACCCCTAGCCTAGATAACGTTAGCCAGCTAGCTAACGTTAGCCACCTAACCACCTAGCTAGAATTCGTAACATATCATACATTTGCAAATTCGTAACATATTGTACGTTTTGCAAATTTGTAACATATAATACGAAATGGGTGATGGACATCCACAAATTAATACATACCATATGAAACATAACATATCATCCTAAATGAAGTGTCTCAGATTTACGTACATAATAATACGAAATGCTCTGAGACCAGTTTGCAGCGCAGCGGTGTTTGGCATGAAATCAAGCACTAGGCATAATTCTTCATTGAACATATTACTTTGTCTGTCTGGCTATTTCTTACATCTGGATGAATGGCAATCTCTCTCTCTCTCTCTCTCTCTCTCTCTCTCTCTCTCTCTCACACACACACACACACACACACACAGGGCTGTCCAGAGCGTGTTACAGGTCGGCTGTCCAGGTGAGCAGTTCCAGGGGGAGGACACCCTTGGCATGCATGCACAGCACTATGACACAAGGGCCAACAACCTCCGTAAGTTTCACAGTTTTGGCCCCTATAAGCATAGGTTTTTGGTGGTGATGGTTGTGGACAGCTGTGTGTGGATGTATCTGCAACTTCAGAGACATTTGAGACTGGGAGGGTTGGCCATGAGGGCCCCAAACAGATAATAGCAAACATAATGTGGGCAGGTTGCCTTGTTTCATATTGTACACTGACTCTCAATGAAGCATTTGGTCTCTGTATGGGTATGATGCTTGTATCATAGCCAGATTTATTAGTTTCAAGTGTGGCATTCATTTTATAATCTTAGATGGAGTCATGTGGAGGGAAACAAACTGCCTTATGCTTTAGAAATCCAGTGGTAATTCACAGTTTTATTTTGTCCCATGCCTACATGATTCAATGATTCAAGATGTGTAGGAGAGAGAGAGAGAGAGAGAGAGAGAGAGAGGGAGAGAGAGAGAGAATGGAATCTATTTCTGTTGCATCCTGTGGGCTGCAACCACAGTTATGGGCTTTGTGTAAACAACTCAGAAACACAGAAGAGGCTTAATCTAGAGTAATTCATACACATTCCATACTGCTGTACCAAGTGATTCTGATTCCGGTACGATTATATCACCCCCTTTTGTGGCTGGATGTGTTTCGTCCTAAACATTGACAAATTATTAAAACACAAAGCAAGCGGCACATCTAAGCCCCCTCCTACCTGAAAGGATGTATTTTGAGACGTACTGACTGAAACTGAGAGTGTAGCTGACAGTGTTGTTGTCAGTGGGATTTGTTCTATTTTCTTGATACTATCAAACACAATCTGACTGACACACCTGATCATCCGGTGTGACTGTACTGGGCTCCTAACAGCTCTCCTTCGAATCATTTTAAAGTAGGGTCCTTTGTCTCTAATGTCTTCTGGGGTGCTGGTGTCTTCTGTCATCGATTATATCTAGAAATAACTGCCACTGATGCTTTGAAGAGGCAGATGTACCAGGTCTATCCCGCAATACATAAAGGTTAAATATATATAGATAGAAGTACCAAACATGGGGGGACATGTGTGGAAATCTTAAACAAGGCTCTAGTCTAAAGCAAGGCTCTCTGAAGTATGTATAGTAATGTATGCTGGTTGGATGTGGTCCTTGCTCTTTTCTTCTGCTGCTCTGAGGGAACCCAGAAATAGGATAATATCACCTGGGAGGCCTGGCTGGTGAAATTGTGATTATTAGTGATGTGGAACCCTCCTCCACTCTTTAGTCTGGGGACTTGTGGGTAATCATGTGGTGTTATTAACCCCTTTGATCTGATTAGATCCCCAGAGAGGCTTCATATTGGTTTAGAGGTCTCTACCAGCCGGGAGACGGATTTATCATAGAGAGAGGGATGGATGGACGGAGTTCAGCTGTGTACCTGTCTTGTTGATCACATTCTATTTTTAGAGCAGACCATGTATTGATTATAGCTTATGGCCAGATTACCCTATTACTGACATTATCAGCAGATCCCATCTTAGCTGTCCTCACCCAGCTTTGGAGAAGAAAGCCCAGGGCAGTTTGTATGGCTGATAGTCATAACAATGCCTCTTTCTGCAGGGCAATGGTGGATAACAAGCATTTTCTCCAAGCACCTCTGAGTATTAGCTAAGGACAAGACTAGAGCAAAGCATTTTGTTCCTTATGTCGCTTTGTTTTGACAGCATATGGGATGTAATGCGTAAAAACCCTTTACCATGTATCGCACATGTGAGACATGTCTCACACACCACATCAATGAGTAATACGTCAGATGTCTCCATGTTATGTTAGACCCCATGAGGACTGGGGCCTCTGCTCTGTACCCCTCTACACATTAAACATTAACAGTTTAGCCTTGGTGGCTCGGGGGCCCTGAACCAAACAGCCCTCCTATCCCCTGCTGGGCTGGTGATCACACTTTCATGTAATCTCAAAACTGGATACTTTTTTAGAATTCTTAAAGAGCTCAAAATCCCATGTCTCTAAGCCTTCAGCATCAAAGCACAAAGTGAGAGATGGAGTGAGAGACGGAGACAGAAATAAAGAGGGAGAGAGACACAGAGAAGGAGAAGGAAAAATGGGGAGAGAGAAGGAAAGAGAAGGAAAGAGAGAGAAAGTGAGAGAGGATGACATGTCGAGACTGTCGGAGAGGATCAGTGCAATGTCAAATATCTTTTGAGTGACAAAGTTGACATACTGCAGGCAGAATGTAACCTCGTTTACATCTGTGAAGGGCAAAGTGTCATAAAAATGATATATAGTCACTGCTGCTTCTGGTAGGATTTCAGAGAAAAAGTTTGTGCTGTTTTGTCACATTGTCAATCAACCTAAACTCATGAGGTGGGACATTGAGAAAAATAGGATAGAAATGGTACATGAGAGCCCCAGGAAGAGAGCAGGGTAGGCTTTCCAGCCGTGGGCTGACTGAGACAGTGATCTGTATTCACAATTCACGTTCACAAAGGTAATTACCTGGCTAGCGGTTATAATCTTCCCTTAAACATCTCCAGATATGAAGTATGAAATCTCTAATAAGTAATTGCTTGGAGATTACAAAGCATGAAGAAAGGCTCTGTCTCCAAAACACTCTCCACTCTTGGATTTCTCTAACCTCATCTACTGTTTATTAATTATGCTGAAATGTATCACCTGCAGCTATTGTGTGTGTGTGTGTGTGTGTGTGTGTATGTGTGTGCAAGTGGGTGTGCGATTGTGTCTAAAATGTAACGCTACTGCTGGGTTTATCAGATCACACAGTTCCGTTGAGAGATACAACTTTACCCTGACCTCTAAGTCACCCGTCACCTAAGACTTGTGTCAGTTCTTATCCGGACTCTTCCATCCTGAATCCTACACAGACAGGCATCCAGGGAAGCAGCTACAGACAGGCACAAAGGAAATGAAAATAAAGAAAATTGTCATTTTCCAATCAAGGTGAAAGAACAGGAGCAAGCTAAGGATAAAAGAATGTTCAGCAACTCTAGGAAGGACAATAAGAGTTCACATCAAAAATAGTTATTTATTATTGGCAAAAAATGTGACCCACCACCTGGATTCGGTCCTATGTAGCAACATTTGAAATTGTGTTTTTTACATTGGATAAAAGTAGAGACTCCGGGCTAGAAAATGGTATATAATACACTGCAGTTGAGGAACAATGAGAAAGTAATTCTGCTTAGAAAATTCAGAAACAGTAACCCCAGTTTTGAGAAAATGGCCAGTGAATGTTTTGGTACACCTACTGGAGAGCTCTTCTTTGTCTACACCCATTCAGCATTGTTCACACCCTCTTAAGCCGTAGCCCAATCTCTTTAAGGATTCACAGTGTAGTAAACCACCAAAGATTTCAAGTAGTGAAAGTAGTAGCAAAAAGTAACAGTAAAAATAAACTGTATCTAGTCCTTGGCCTATATCCTAATCTGATTTTGGTGCAGGTCATGTTGTTCTTCACATTACCGTCTCTGGTAAACACACACTATATAAAATAAAATTAAAATGTATTTGTCACATGCACAGGATACAGAAGGTGTAAACGGTACAGTGAAATGGTTACTTGCATAATGGAGTCTTTTTATCTAGCTAGCTAAACAGTGAACCATAATCCCAACTCTAATGCCGCATTCAAAACAACTGGGAACTCAGAAAAAAAAAACTCTTCCTGGGATTAAAAAAAATAAATTCCAACTCGGGAACTCGGGCCTCTTTCTAGAGCTCCTACACAGATCATACACGTAACTTTAGCTAGCGAGCCAGCCAGCTAACGTTAGATAGCTAGCTAACAGTACGCTTTAACTTGCAATGAAAATGACTTTCTCACAAAATTAGAAATGTATAATATCTGAAAATGTAGCTAGACTCTTACCCGTATACATGGATGAACACTTCACCTTCTGTCATGGATGCCATGGTTGCACTTAGTTTGAAGATGTAATCCGGAGACAGGTGTTTTATACAACAGCCTTCTTTCTGTGTTCTCTTTTTGGACTCTCCACATTTGGCAATCATCTCTCTGCTTCACCGGGCATTCCACTGATTTCAAAACTCGGTCAACTTCTTCCATGACAACGACACCGTTTCTTCCCCACCATTGTCATCAGAAGACTCTACAATGTCTGGTTCAATGAAAATGTTTTTACCTAAATCAGGGATTTCCTCATTGTCTGATTCATTTTCAGAGTCAATGAGAGTCAGCATGGCACGATCATCTTCCAGAAAGTAGTCCATCACAACGTTTTCCCACTGAGCTTTGTCTATAGCGCTATTAACTTCAGGGCAGCAATGTTGAGAGTAGTAGCAAAACTTTTTCAGTTCTTTATGATATCTTTTTAAAAAAAGCTGCGGTAAACAGGATTATCCACACATACTTAGCAGCTCATGTTAAAGACAGAAGCATGCTACATGGCAGACCAATCCGAACTCATCTCTCGGCATGTCCAGCCCAACTATTATCTCAGCCAATCATGGCTAGCGGGAAGGTTCCTGTATTTTTCCATGGCTAAACCAACAATGCTCGTTATTTAACAATTGTATTCGTATTTACAGATGGCATACAAGTTTGTTATTAAGGCACATGAAAGTTTACATGTTCTAGAAGGCATTTCTGCCCCCCAAAAAACACGTTAAAATGCCTCTCCTGTGATGTAGTAATGAGCAACATACGCCTAGTTTCTTGAAACCGGTCACAAATGTATACTGTGAACTTCCATTGTCCTCCTAAGAGTTGCTGAATGTTTTTTTAAAATTCATTGTCCACCTAAAAGTTGCAGAATGTTTTTTAATCTACAGACAGACCTAGGCCCCACGTGCTCCTCCGTTCCTGTGCCCTAGCTCAGGCTAATTACCCTAATGTGGGTCCCCTCAGCAGCACCGGAGATCCATTAGGCCTTGTTCATTAGGGCTGTGGGCCTCCCAGCCTCCTCAGACGGCTCTGATCGACCAGACACAGTAATCAGCTCAGAGTCAGACACATGGGGAGGCTGGGACTCACTGCTCCTTGGAAGAAGTAGAGTAGAAAACATAGAAAAAGGAAGTGAACTAAAGTTGAATAAGGGAAGTAGAATAGCCACACGCTGTTTAAATGCTTTCAGAGATTATTTAACCATCTAAGGATGTTTATCACGGAGGGAAGTTCCCCTCTATGTCCTGATTGTCTTCTATCTGACTGATTACTGGACTTGGTCTTAACGTATCACTCTGTTCCTATGTATAACTTTCTATCTTGTTGTCATGGTGTAATAACAAAATAAGCTGTAAGGAGGCTGAATATCTCAGGGTGTAATCAGCAGACTATCATCTGTCCTTGTATGACCCTGGGGAATATTAATCCGTTAATTTACAGGCAGAGACTCAAATCACATTTTTGACAGGTAATTACGTGTGTGTGTGGCTTCTGCTTGTGTGCGTGTTTGGCTTGTGCGTGAGTGGGTGTGTGCGTGCATGGGTATCTGCTCATGTGTGTGTGTGTGGAGTGGGTTGGAGGAGGGCAAGTGAATAATAGCCTGTCATGTCTTCAAGGGAGCGAGTCATCAGACATTTGTATTACTACGCCCATCTACATCAATATCAGTAAAAAGATTAGCATTCCTCCTTTGTATGTTTGAACAGTCGGGAATCCATTGAATTGTAATTAAATGCTACAGTGAGTATATCTTATTACACCGTTTAATTCATTTGAATTAAGATGTTCACAAATATTAGGATTATGTGTTTAATCTGCAAAAGGAAATTATTTTTCCTCTGATTTTAAATATCTTAAGTTTTAATGTTGACAGCCATGTCACCTGATACTAATACCCCAGGGAAATTAGGGAGGACATTTTTTATTGATTGAGGCTCAGATTATGATGCATATGGAATACATCGATGTAGCTCATACTGAAAAAAAAAGATGCCAAAATGTCAGTTTTGCTCCTCTGGGGTACAAACAATTGGGGATCCTAATAAAATATTAAATACTAATATTGAAGGGAGGCAAATCTGAGAGAGGCATTCTAGCATTATTTAGCTTCTGTATGTGTCTACACAGTAGTATTTAGCTTCCCGAACATGTGGCTGAGTTAGTATTAGTCTCCCTAGCATGTGGCTGTGCTATACAGTGAGAAATCCCCTTAATGTCTTGCATTGTTGTAGGGTTTTCATCATATTTTCAGTGAGAATTCCATTTTAATCCTCTTTCATTACAAGTACATTATGTTGATAAACGCCTCTGTATGTAGGTTTGCATTGCAAAATTGTATTGTGAAGAAAGGCTATACAGAGTTTTCATGTTGGTTCTAAGCTCTGACGCTACAGAACATACTGGCAGTTCTGGTTCAATCTCTCTGTACATGGACGGAGAAGTTTGTCTCACTTTCTCACTCAC